TATAAGTATCTCAATAGCACTGACCCACCTTTGACATATTTCATCTTTTTCTATTATTTTTTCTTATCATTTTTTATCATTCATTATATCTTTTTTTCTTTTCTATTTTTTATCTGTTTCGGTAGAAGTGCCAACTAAACATTTTTTGTGATACAGAAATAAAAACTTCAGTTTGTATCATCCTCCTTTTTCTATATTTTTTTTCAGACTTCGAAAATTACATATCTCTTTCCTTAAAACAATAATATCTATCTTTATATGATTTTTTCCTAATTTAATTTTGTAGAATTAAGAATAAAAAAGAAACTACTAAATTAAAATAATTACAAGTGAATAAGTAGTATAAGAATATTAAAAATTTATTCCTTCCCTACAAAAATAATAATAATAATAAGTTTTACACGTCATTTGAATTACTATTAATTACTTCCTAATGTAATGGTAATGGCAAATTTATTATAATATTGTAAATTAAAAAATAATTTATTATTTTATAGTAAATCTGAAACAATTTCTCAATCTGGAGTTTTTTTGCCACGTGAATCAAATTTTCGTCAAACAACTGGTAAAGGTATTAATTTTTGAATTTTTTAATATCTATGTATGAAATATGATTTCTTAGAGCGGTTAAATTAAAACCGCTCTCATAAGTCTATTTTAGAGAGCGGTTCCTTAGTAACCGCTCTTAGTAGTCTATGTTAGAGAGCGGTTCAAATGGAACCGCTCTCATAACTCCATTTTAGAGATTAAAAAATTAACCGCTCTAAAAAGTCATATTTCGTACTTTTTGTGGCGAAATAGATATTAAAAAATTCAAAAATTAATACTTTCGCCAGTCGTTTGGCAAAAATTTGATTCACGTGACAAAAAAATCCCAGATTGAAAAATTGTTTCATATTTACTATAAAATAATAAATTATTTTTTAATTTACAATATTATAATAAATTTGCCAAAGCACGGTAAGACAAATACACAAAACTAATAAATTTAATTAACTTTATATAGATAATAGTAGGTTTTTTTTTTTTTTGTCTTTTTGCGAAGATAAGAGAATCAAAATCAAGTTATCCTTAATATTATCATATTATCTCTTCAATATATTTTTTTGAGGACCACTAAAAATTTGCAACACTTGGTTAGCATCATGGACGTAGGAAGTGTCTATACATGAGACCCATGCCAGTTACTATTAATCCACTTAGTAAAACCATAGATAAGACGTATATGATATTTACAATTTATATTTTTTTTAAATATATTATGTATAGCATTTATCATGTACATTTTCAAACTTTTTTAAAAAATATCAGTTGTATATAATTTTTTCACACACAAAATATAAATTAGAGATTTGTTTTTAAAAAGTTGTTTATGTAACCATTAAATTACTCATATTGGTAAATAGGAATATCGAAATGACATATAAGAAAGAAGATACATTAAGTATTATATGTAATGGCATGGGGGAAAAGTATAAATTAGGTATAAAAATTGAGATGTAGAAAAATGAAGGGAAAACAGGGGTAATCTTTATTTTAATGGGTAAAAGCAAATAAATCGTAATTTTCTCTTGATTTAATTGCAATCACTTTTGAATTAGACAAAAACTTAGATAAAATCACGTAAGTTTGTTGTTATTTATTAATTTATTTTGATAATTTACTATGCTATTAAATACAATATTTAATTAAAATAAACTTAAAGTTTGATTGTTAAAAAATGCATAAAAAAACGTAAATTTTGTCCTTTCATGTTTTCGCTTTCTCTGGATGGAATGCATAGGCCTTTATTGTTGCATCCATTAACTGCAAAGATCTTTTTCACTCGTGCCGACAAATACAAAGCCCAAACCCACAATCACAATGGCATCTAACCTAGAAGGCAAAAACAACTTGAAAAAAAAAGTCAAGAACCAGAAACACACACACGTTGACTCAAATTGAAGAAGAAAACTGGGTTCAAAATTTTCCCCTCTAACTTTGGGATGGTTAGAAATTGATTCTAGGCACGGTAAATTGTGTTTGCGGTTGTCAAAATTACTTTTGAGGTAGAGGCTAGAATTGATTCTAGGGTGACACTAAACAATTATATTTATGTGTATTAATATATTATTTGAATTGATCAATCTTAGAGAATTTTCTCTAAAAATGATACTAAGTAGAATTAGATATTTCTTTTTATATCAATTACGTAAATCTTTACATTTACTTTTAACACTTCAAATAAATTTTCTTTAAAAAAAAGAAGGAAAAAGACGAATCAAGATAATATTTTATCAATCAAATAAATTTTTTAATCTACTTTTAAAATATCAAACCTAAATATAGTTTTTAAAAAACTAGAATTTTCAAAAATTGAAGTAAAATACATTTATAGTATAACAATTGTTATATCACCATCAAATTATTAATAGTCATATCATTAATTTTTTATATATGAAATATAACAAATTTCAGTAATTATTAAATTTTATAATCTTTATTTGAAAAATTATATCTGCAATTTTTAAAATTAATTAATAATATAATTTTGTTTGCACTAATAATACGTTAAAACGAAATTGGAATGCCAAAATCTAAAACAAAACAAACGTAATCATACATTGAAAGGGAGATATGCTCTAGTCTTAAAGAAAAACCCACCTCTTTTTGTCAAGGTCCTGACTTAATAATGCGGTCCTGCTTTATACTTTGCATTATTATTCATGTCACCACCAAAATGCCCATTTTTTTGTCAAATAAGAACTTCGGTAATTACTGATAGAACAGCGTGAAATACTTAATGAAATTGCCACGTTATATAATAAAAACTTAAATAAATGGGTTGATTAAAAACATTGGCACAATAATTTTATTGCATCGAAGGTTTAGCTAAGGATGATTTATATATGTTTTATTTATTTTTACCTTTCGATTTTAAAAAGATTCCAAATTGACATGTGAAAGGGAAGAGAATGGCAATTGGTAGAGTCCTTATCACGTCGAGGAATATGTTTCCCCATGACAAGTCCTCCCATATATCGTTGCCAAATTTTGCATCTAGATTTTAACTTTGGAGCTATTCATTAGAATTCAAAACTCTCCACATCACTATAATATCCATTCCCTTGTTGAATATTTTAATCATAGCCAAATTCTTATCTATAATCATGTCCCTTCGTTTGTTTTTCTGCTTTTCCAAGAGGTTTTTGACAGCAACTTCAAACAAGAATATTAATACTATATTTTTATATTATTTTATTTACTTCTATTACTAAATAAATTATACGGATATTTTAAACGGCCACACTTTATTTATTACATACAGTTCACTCAGTAATAATAATAAAACATTATAATATCATGCTATAAGAGAACAAAATATGACACAGTTATAATAAAGCTCATCACTTTATATGTAAAAATTATTAATTTAATTTCTATGCATACATTTTTATTACATGATATATTTTTTTCCTAATTGTTAACATGAAATGATTTTAATCCTAAAACATGAATATTCAGAAGAGCGAGTAGATAAGATTTCACCAACCTAGGTCTTATCAAGTAATCAAATTCGCAATGGCTTGTAAGATGTCAACTTAATGCATCTTTTCTTGACCTAAGTTTATTGTCTATCCATAATGAAAATTTTACTCGTTTTATTCTTTACAAATCATATAATAATTATTATATTGACCATATTTTTTGCAATTTTTTTAATTTTCTTCCTATTTCCTAACTATAATTTAAACCAGCATAGTTAAATAACTATGTTCTGTTATAAATAACTGTTTTATAAAACAGAAAATATATAAATAAATAAATAAATTGTAGCCAAATGCTCTTTCGTAAAAGACAAAAATCATAAGTATTGTTTTTGTACGTTTTGGGCGAGTATTTCTCTAAAAATTAAAACTTTGTTAACTCCTTTCGAAATTAAAAATAAAAAATAAAAAATCGAGCTTTTCTTAAAATGAGGAAAAAAGGGTGTCTAATTGTGCACGTAAATAATCGATATCATCGCATAATCAGCTAATAATTAATGAATGGAATGCGCGTGTCATCTTAATTTGTCTGACTTCTCCCTAACTTGGGGAAAACTGGATTAGTGTCTACTCGAATGTGTCTTTCTATTGATGGATTACGTAGCCCTAATGGCCTAATCTACAATCATTGTGGTTGTTTCGAGAGAAATGGCAACGTGGATGTGACCAAATTTATCTTCCGGGGATAATTAATTGATTATAGGTGGCAAGGTGCCATTGGTTATGGTGTCAAGCAAAGTTGAAGCAGACATAATTGGTAAAAGAGCAGAAAAATGAATGGGATGGAAAGGGGAAATGGATGAAGGGGACCGCAGGACAAAAGTGAGTGACTACTATTCAGGATCCATCGAATAGGGTAATCCAATGATTTTGGTTTTTTAGTTTTAAATTAAAACTTATTTTAAATTTGTGTATTTATATTAAAATATTGTATAATTGTACTGAAATTACATATTAAAAATTATTTAAATAAAAAATATTTTTATTTTTTACATATTTTTTATTTAAAATTATTTAATCGAATAATTTTAAATTTTTTTATATATAACAAAACTAATATATTTTAATCAATTCAAATTATTTTTTCTCAAACAAAACCGAGCCGTAGACATCCTTACTACTAGCCCAGGTATAACGCTGAAACCACACTAACTACCAAAAGGGTCTCCCTCAAAATTACTAGCAAGGAAAAGACGCGCACAGATAATTTTTCTCCTTTCCAATAAGGGATAAAAGGGCCATGCTCATCCACTGGACACATGGGTCACCACGCGAAATCCCTCTGAATAGAGACCCAGCCAATGAGAAGCAAGAGATTAGGATCAACTTTATAATCTCCACCAATCAAAATCAAGATAAGGCCTTCCCTTGTGGACCCCAGAGCTCAAACCTTTACCTTTCCAAGGCCCCAAAAGTGCATACCCAAACCATCCCTCGTTGTTAAATGGACTGCAAAAGCGTCTCTGGTGGGTCACGCTACCCCCCATTTATTTCCTCTCCCTTACCTTTTAGCTCCCAAAAGAATAGAGTAACTAACACATTGTGAGACCAAACCCATTGGCTTCAATTTTTGTTTTGGTCCAAATTCTAAAACAGGTTAGTATAGTGAGAGTAGTGTGTGTGATGAGTTCGGCTAAGAACGTGGCCAACGCGGTAGGTGGAAAAACCGCACGAGCATGTGATAGCTGCATAACAAAGCGAGCACGTTGGTACTGTGCTGCCGACGATGCTTTTCTCTGTCAAGCTTGTGACTCTTCCGTTCACTCCGCCAATCCATTGGCTCGAAGACACGAAAGAGTTCGCTTGAAAACGGCGTCGTTCAAGTCCGCTGAGGAACAACCCAATTGCGCTCCCTCGTGGCACACTAAGAAAGCTCGAACACCCAGACATGGGAAACACTCTCGTAACAACAACCACCACCACTTCCATTTGGTACCTGAAGTGGGCTCCGATGAAGTGAATTCCCATGAAGAGAACGAGGAACAGCTTCTGTACAGGGTCCCCATATTCGACCCCTTTGTGGGTGAGCTATGCAGTACTAGTCCTCCTTCTTCTGTGGCTGAAAGTGAGAGCAAAGGCACCAAAGGGAGCATGACCATGAGCCTGAGCAATGTTGTGTTGTTGGGTTGTGAGAATCACGAGATGGAAGGGTTGCATGGGTTGCTTCCTTCTGAGGTTGAGCTTGCTGAGTTTGCTGCTGACGTGGAGAGTTTATTGGGTAGGGGACTTGAAAACGAGTGTGTGGGGATGGAAGAGTTGGGGTTGGTTGATGCGAAAGAGGAGTGTTCGGTGGGTAGTGGGAAGGTGAAGGTGGAAGAGGAAGAGGGTCCGGCACAAGTGGCATCCAGAACCTGCAAGGTTGAGGCTGATGAGGTGGAGATGGTGGGAAGAGATCAGTCGTTTGAGTTTAGTTTTGATTATGACTCTCTTGAAACGTGTGAAGATGGAAAGGAGAAGGTTGGTGGTTTCGAATTGGGGAATGTCGATGGAGAATTGAAAGAGGAAGGTGAGGCAAAGAGGAAGAGGATTTCTTTGCAGCTTGATTATGATGCAGTGATCATTGCCTGGGCTAGCCATAAGTCTCCGTGGACCACAGGTCACAAACCAAATTTGGACCCTGACCAGTGTTGGCCTGAATGCATGGTATTTCCCTCTGTCCCTTGTATATATATATATATATATATATATATATGCATATATATATAGAGAGAGAGATGTTTCAATTATATTATAAATTATCACCCATCTGTTAGATTCGTTATCTGTCACTTTTGTTCTCTTTAAGTGACTGGATTATAGTTTAATATCCTTTCACGTTGTTCTTCTATCAGAATTGATTTATTTTTTTCCAGTAATTTGCACGTTAATTATCAAAATTGAAAGTCAATTATGTACTTGAATTTAGATTGGAAAATTACATTAAAAATATTTATTATATTGCACTTAAATTGACCTATTAGTTTACTGTCATGGCACGAGCATGGACTAAATTGATTATTTATCTGATTTTAAGCATTGGAGTGTGGGTGATTTTCAGTTGTGTGTTAAATTGAACTTTGAATGTTTAGGCGATGTTGTGTGACTGATGAAGCTGTGTGCTGTTGTTAACCAGGGAGCTTGTGGAACGGAACTTCATTATCCTTATGGTGAACTGGGTGGATTTGGGTGTCATCCAGTAATGATAGATGGAGGCAGAGAGGCAAGGGTGTCCAGATACAGAGAAAAGCGCCGAACGAGGTTGTTCTCGAAGAAAATAAGGTACGAGGTTAGGAAATTGAATGCAGAGAAGAGACCAAGAATGAAGGGGAGGTTTGTGAAGAGGGCTTCCTTTGCAGCACCAACATTTCCTTTGCTAAATAAATAAGACATTCCATTTACTGTTCTACCAGTGAATTTTTGTTAATATTTGCTAAATATTATATTTTACTATTTGATTTGGTTTTTTATTTTATTTTCGTATTTCTTTGTATATAACAATTTTGTTAAGTTAAATAAACGGTCAAACAGATCAAAGCTAATAAATCATCTTACGATCTATATCAAGAGCTGTACATGAATCAATCTACAACTTTTATGATTGTGGATTTATTTATTAAAAAATCACTAAAAACACAAAATGAAAGAAAATCGTTGTGTATACCTTCACTCCATTTAATGAAAGGGGTTCAAATTTATAATTTCTACGTGTTCCCATATATGTAATAAATTGATGGCAATCGCTATTAGACATCTTGTAGTAAGTTGGGAAGAGAATTTCCATCAAACTTGCACTCGAGAATTAATTCTTGAGCAACACAACTTGGTGAGTTTCTTTTTCACTACCTAATCAAAAGAACGAGAAACAAAATTAATAACGTCTTTTCTTGCCACTGGTTGTTTCGCAATTGAAGCCAAGAGTCAGTTCCAAGTCCAACGCCGTTCGATTCGGCTCGTCCTGGCTCACCAGCGAAGCCTCCACGCTTTCCACGCTCTCCCTCTCCCAAGCCGGTTTCCACAACCAAGCTGAGTCCGCTGAACCCACTCGCGGTTTGGGTTTCGTAACTTGCCCGACCCTCTTCAACCCGGTTCTCCCTCTCACGTAGTCCACGTTGATCCCTCTTGCCACGTGGCCTGTATCACAGGCTGGGGGAACATGATCACTTCCACCAAGTGTCCCTGCTGTCACCCAATCAAAAGCTGCCACGCCATTGATTTTGGTCCCAGTCAGCACGGCGTCAACTGCAGCTTCGCATTGGGCCCACTCCCCTGTCCAGAACAAACCCAACGACCCATATGTGGGATTCACTAATCTCCCACAGGCCTCGTACAACAGCGACTTGAATACAGCTGAAAAATGGAAAAGAAAAAAAAATAGAGCACTGGTTAGATTTCTTTATTAATTTTTAAATGCAATTAAATTCTTATTATTTGATGTAATAAAAAAAGTTAAAATTTATTGACACTAAAATATTAAATTTTAACACTTAACCATTTTTAATAATATTTTATAAAATGTGAAATTAATCGATTTAATTATTAATTTAAAGATTTTCTCTCAAATAGATTAAATTTATAAAATTTTGTTAAAAATAAAATTAATAAGTATTTTATTTTTTATTTTATTTAATAAACCTTATAAAATTTGATATGAATATTCTAAAAAATAATATAAAGTGATTTAATAATTAAACTAATTAATTTATATTTTACTAAGAAATTATTAAAAAGTATAAATGAAAAATTAAAAATTTGTAATATACAATTTATGGAGAATTTACGAAGATTTAAGGATGATGATGGAAGGACAAGTATAAATCTAAAAAAAAATTATTCAATTAATTATAAATAAATTATAATTTATTATTTCACTAATTATAAATTTATATTAAATGAAAGGTTAAAATTAACTTTTACTGTAAGAAGATTCATATATATTTATTATATTATATAGTATAGGACCTGGGGCATGGTGTTGGGAAGCAGCGTTGATAAGGTTGAGTAAGGCAGTGCGACCATAGAATTTGGCAAGGAAGAGGGTGGCGTTGGCTTGTGACTCAGGGGAGTTAATCCACTCAAGGCATGGCCTTATGATGCACTTCTCACTGCAACCTTTGCGGAGTATGCGGCACCCATTGCAGCTCAGTTTCATGGCTTTCTCTCAACTGTGTACGGTATAATTGTACGGATGGGCGTTGGGTATTTATTAGGATGATAGCACATGAAAAATACATTGATTGGTGGGATTGGTATTATAATCTGTAATATGATATTGGGCTGATTTAAATTAATATGTGTGTATATGATCGGATGTGGTTTGGTGAAAAGGATTTGGCTGTATTGGATTTGATGATGCATGCAGAGGTGAATTACAAGGTGAGGTAGGTGGGATATGGGAAAGAAAATGTGTTGGGGAAACAGTTATAGGATTGTGGGCACAAGCGTGTGTAAATAATAATAAACAACACCGGAGCTCCCTAAAATGGGGAAATATTTTCCTTGTCTTCGTTCCCATTTTCTCCAAACATCAAATCTATGTCTTCATCACTTTCCTTAAGAGTGTGATTTGATATCCACAGACTACTGTGGGCGTTGGTAACATATCCGCCCATGGTTTTCTTTCTGCTTTCGCTAATTTGTTAATATCTATCTCTTCTGCCTATACATATATAAAAAGATCGACAACGATGTTTTTATAATCTTTCTTTTACACCTCTTTTATGGTAAATAAAAATAAATTAAGAGAATCATTTAGTTTAGTTCTCACTCTCTTCCTCTTTCATCTTTAAAAATAATGTGCAAGTAGTGAAAATTAATAAAGCTCCGAGATCAGAAATATTATTATATGTATAATAGATGAGCCAAGTGCTTTTTCATGCCATTGTATGGAAATACATTTTTTTAATGTTAATATTAAAATAAATATTTTAAAGTATGTTTAAGGTAATTATAGTATTTTTTTAAACTTAAAATGTAATTTTGAGTTCAAATATCAATAAACATAACTGTATTTAATGTTTTAAAAACTTATTTATATATAATTTTATTCTCCTCAAATAAAATTATAATTTTACAACGGCATAAATTTTTTCGACCCTTTTGGGATAACTATATTGGTTTTGGTAATATCTCACTGAGTTGACTTTATACCTTTTATTCATTCGACTTTCGGACTTTCGGATAGCCAATCAGAGTGAATAATTATTTACCAATTGAAATTACTTTTTTGGGAGGATATTTGAAATTTAAATTAAGAGAGTAAATAAATATTTTATCCTATAAAGTCAATAATGGACAAGCATTAGTGATTATTATTTTCCTTCTTAATTTTGTAGGCAAGAAATATGCTTTTTGAGTCGTTATCTACAGTAACAGTTTAACAAGAAAAATGTTGGTATTTTCAAAGAAAAATAATCATAGGTGGACAAATATAGATTTTAATTTCAGGTCTTTAAATAAGATTCGTTTTTGGAATATTTTTATTTTTATTATATTATGTGACTCTTGTATTGAATGTTTTATGTTATTTTTATTCCTTTTAAATAATTTTTTATTTTAATTTCAAACTTACTTTAATTTAAATTTTAAATATTGATAGACTGTATTAAATTAAATATATTTTTTCCCTTTATGATAAACTAAATTTTAAGAATAATAATAATTTACATTTAATTTTAAAAATATAAATTTAAACACATTGTGCCAATAAAAAAATTTATTTTGACTTTAAATTTTCATTTCTATAAATTATTATATAATTTTCATTTTTTATTTTTTTAATATAATATTTTTTAAAACAATTAAATATTAGTAATGATAAAAAGACTCACTGTTCTATTTCATTTGTAATAAATACAAAAAGTTAAAAGATGGTGTGGAAAAAATGAAATGTTATTTAGATGGTGTGAAAAAAATATGAAAAAAATATTTTTAAACAATAACATAAGTAAGTAAGAAATTTGAAACATTACAGATATATTTTTATTAATTGAAAATATTAATTTACAAGTTTTAATTTGAAGAAGTGTTTTAATAGATTTATTATTAGGAGGAAGGAGAAACTAATTTTGAAGATGTAAGGTAATTATATGAAAATGAAGAAGGGACGTGTTAATATTCAAAATAAGGATAATTCAACAATTAAAAGTTATAAAAAATAAGAATGAACAGTGTAAAAGAAAAACATGGATGCAAATATAACCCCTTAATTTATTAGATTGAAGTTTCAGCCAGTGTGGGCTGAAATTGGGTCAAGTTTAATTTTTTAAGCCTGTCAACGTTTTAAAAGTGTTTTTTTCCTGGCTTCCTTTTTGGGGCCTCCTAAGAAGTTTGAAGTAAAATCATTGGGCCTTCCTTATTCATGGGTTGGGCCATTCAAAATTTTAGTACCGATTTCTAATGGTCCACACATTATTGAATTTTTAAAAGCAAATAATTGTTATTTAAAAAAAAAAAAAGAGAGATCTTTCAAGATTATAAGTGTAATCTAAATTTCCACCAACGTAATTAGCCTCGTTGGTTCCTGTGTAAAAAAGGTCCTAATAGTGATACAGTACATTTTGTGGGAAATTTTGGAAAGGATTTTTACTTTTGAAAGTTACAAGTTATATATATATAAATTGTTCGGTGAGGAATCTTATTTGATCACAAACTTTAACTGTGTTTAAATCATGTGACTTCTAGCAGCTTGCATGATAGTATGTTCTCTAATTCTATTTTTGTGTTTCTCATTCTTCTTGAAAGACATTAATTTTTTTAACATTGTACAAAATAATAAGTTGTATATAGTATTTTTTTATTAAAAAAATTTAACAGTATTAATATTGCACAAATTTAAATTTTTTTGTTTTAATTATACTATTAAATATTTAAATAATAACTTTAACTAATTAGTATAGTTATTTATTTCATTTATTAATTTTTTTTCTTCAACTATCAAATAGTGAGTTTGTAAAACTTTTAAAAATGATAAATGAAATAAGTGAAATTTATATAAAGTAAAATAAATTTGTACAATTTTTTTTTTGTACTTAATCTTAACTGACAATAGAAAAGGAACAGTACATTTAATTAAACTAGTCAAAATATTAAATTATTTACTATTTAACTGTTTTCATATAAACATGATTCTTTCATAGTATTTCAATATATTAAATATTTAAATTTAAACTCTAAAATTTTAAACATAAACATCTCATTTAAATACTACATCCCACAATGTTATTTCTAACATTAAATATTATGCTTTATATTACATAATTTTTTAATGTATTATTTTGTAATGTATAATTATTAGATATTTTAAGAAAAAATTGCAATCTATTTTCTCAACCTCACAAATTTTTTTAAATTTGCTTTTGTTATAATTTTCAAATAATCTTAATGAGTTTTATTATATTTTTGAGATTTTTGATACAATAAATATTTTTTCCTCTAGAAAAATCTTTTTATTTGTATTAGCTTAAAAATAATTTTATAGACTAATATACAAAAATTAATAAATAATCATCTCATAAAAAGTATTTTTTTTAAATGATTGCTATAAAATTTGAACTTGCAACCGAGTATACTTGTTCTAGCTTTGGTGCGGCTTGCAATTATTTGCACATATTTATTGCTGACAGACTCTAGAGAAGTGGTCAGCCCAGAAGATAAGAATGGCATAACGATTAATGAGTTAGCCTATCATAAATCAGAATCACCTTAGTCTCTTTGGTAGCCCGAAACTCCACAGAGACCACGATTTATTGTCGATTCGGAGTTAACTAGGGTAGGGTACATGTAGTCCAACCAGCAACCCACATGCACACTTCAATTTGGTTAACATGTCAAGGACAAATTAATGGAGAGGTGTATGTGTAAATGCATATTTGACAAGGAATATTGGTCTACCAATAATGAGTGAAACAGCAACGAGGAAAGCCAATAGAGCATCATGAAAACTCCCTAATGAAAAAAAAATAAAAATACTATACTATGTTGAAATGTAAACCAAACCAAACCCAGCATTGGTTATTAAAGAGAAGCAAAAGAGTGGGTAAATTAAAATGCATCGATGGGCTAAATTGTCTTCATAAGCAGAAATGGTGTGTGAGAGTCAAGTTGATTCTAAATCCAAAATGCTAGCAGACAAAGTACCAGGCTACGAATCACTGACAACTTTTATTAAAACCTCTTATTCGCCGCATAATACGTGGCGCTTTCCTACATTGATTTCTCTGCCATTTTCAGTTTCTTCCTCCAGTCCCTCTCATAAGCACCCAATTAACCCCAATACGAGAACCCTTTGTTCTCTTCTTTGGGTATTGCAACATACCACCAACACATAAATCAAAAGCTCACCCTATAAATGGAACAAAAACTAATCAATTCCCTTGAATTCAACCAAATCACACTTTTTTTTTCTATGTTGGGCCTTGTCAATAATGCGTGGGTGTCTTGAAGCACTTTTGGTATAATAAGACAGAAGGATGATTATAAAAAAAAGGAAGCAAGTCTTCTATGGATACCTTAGTTTCCAAAGACTGAAGTTCACCTAATCACATTTAACTATTTTGAAACCAAACTCGTACGTGGCATCTTTGTTTAACTTAATTATATTATTAATCAAAGAACACCACGTTTAAAAATCTCCTATCTGCTACGAAAAGTAAGCTCCACTTAAGATTACTATATTAACCTTTGTTGTCTATACTTTTTTCCTCTCTTGCCAAGGAAATTGAGTTGTCTAATCGTGTTTACAAGGAACGATGTTATGTTTTTATTTTCTTTGCGGTCGTTTTCTTCGATCGACATGATGGCCGAGCTGATTAAATTGTTTAATCATGTTACCAAATTAATGAGTAGTCTATTAATAAAATGTTGTCCTTGCAATATATAAGTTCAAGTACCACCACCAATAATTCAAGAAATGATGCTCACCAACAATAATTTACTTGTTATATCGCTCATATTTTTGGAGGACTTATCATAATTCAAAACTTGATGTTCATATATTTGTTTGTACATAGGTGTAATCCACATTCTACAAGAATATTGTAAGACTAGTTAATTTCCATTCTCTGGACAATTATTTCGGTTGCAGTTCTCTATCATAGTTATAAATTGAGACTAAAAGGAAAATAACAATTTTATGCGTAAACTTAAGATATAACAGCAGTGAACGAAGGAAAAAAAAAATGGAAACAATGTTTTATGGGAAAATATATATAATTTATATCATTTCACAAAATAAAGTGGGATTTAAAAAATATATATAAACAAAAGTGTCCCCTTAAATTCAAGTAAATTAATGAAGCTGACTAGTCTGAAATAATATCCATATATATATATATATATAAAGAGTAGGTGTTGGACTGAGTAAAAAACCGATGACTTTGGGTTGATTTAGAGTTGAGGCACTTTAAATCCGTCCAACACGATGACCACATTCTTCTTTCTTTTTATTTTTTTTCCTATGTTTGTTTTTTATATATTTTTTCAAAGTTTTTTTTTTTAAGGAAATGATTCTTTGTGTGTGTGATTAGATGACCCAATCAAACCACTGAAAATTTGATCGAGTATGATTTAATTTCAGGTGGTATTCCAGTTTAATTTTGTGTTCGATCGATTTGAACCAATTTATTTTCCCAAATACAATCCATACCCGATCCAAGGAACTCATACCCACTCCTACTTGACTTATATATGAGACATGAACATTTTCGAATATCTGAAACATAAAGAGAGAGCTGTAATACTCACCGCTTCTGCTATCTAAAAATTTGATGGATAATTTAACAGCCTAATAAACTGAAACAGATTTTCCAAACATGCCCATCTGACAAACATAATTTCCATGCTTTCTCACTTGAAGAGGGATGTTGAAGTTATATAGGTTAAAATATTACAATTTTATTTAAAAAATAATATTAACATGCCTTTCTAATAATTTCGAATAGTTTTTTATTCTTTAATTAATACATGTAGAAGACCTATCACAAAATAAAATAAAATAAGTCACAATCTTTTCAGACCACGCTGTCAATACCGAAGACAAATCGATAAATTATTCAATCGGCACGGTAAATGAACATGCCTGCTTAAGTTTGTGAAAATTATCAGATTCCGACTTAGATCTTTTGACAATATATATATATTCTCTGAAAGCGGAGGAGAGTAGAGAAAGGAATAATCCCCATTTCGCTAAGGAACTAAGGAACTAAGAAAGCATATGAGAGAAACAATAAATAAAAATGAAAAACTTACCTATTGCAGCTAAATGTATCACCCAAAATATACGCAGACTGTGCACTGAACTCCAATACAGTTAGATTAGCTTTTCCCACTTTTATTTTACCATTAACACTTTTATTATGATTTCTGCACTGGGAGAAGATCAGAGGAAGGGAGAAAATAATTGGTTTGTATGGTTATAGCTATAACTTATAGGTACAACTTAAAGGCATGAATCACTGCCTTTATGTTGTACGGTATGTGTTAGTCTTTTTCAGTTCACCTTCTCAAGCCATCGGGAAAAATAGGGTAAATAGAAAAGAAAAGGATTCAAGTAGCACATTACAGAAAGTATCCAACAATAAACTTACTCTCAACAACATCTTCTATGTACAAGCATAATGTTGAGGACTATGATAATTCATTTTTGGGATCCTCCATGGATGAGAAAAGAAAGGGAAAAAAAATCTTCCAAGTATAATACCAAAATACCACCGGTTTTCCCTCATTTTCTACAATAAGAAGACATATTACTATATAGAAAATGATGAGAAAAACGTGGGTATTTTGAATGAACATATATATCGACCAAAATAAATTTAATACTTGAGAAACGAAAAAGGCGTAGAAAACAGATAAACAAATTAAAGATGAGAAATTGGATGGGAATTCTACTTGTTAATTAGTTGTGAAGAGGATCTGGGCAACTTGGTACTCGTCTTTTGCTTTCGTCGAACCCCTTTTGGGTTGTGTTGCTGGGACCAAGAGTCCTTCCACTGAAGTACTTATGGTACAGATCCTCCTTGCTCTTGTTATCCATATTGCCGTGGCTGAATTCCACGTTGCCCACTGCATTTCCTGGGAATACACGAATCGCCCCAACCTTGCACGTGTGGCACATATGCAACACCGGGGTTACCAGAAGAACCACCACATAGAGATAGAGGAGTCTCTTGCCACCAGCAAACAACATGGCCAGAAAATAAAACACATAAATTTTGAGCCTTTCCTGAACCCAATTGCCAAACACCCCCCTCTTTTTTAAGCACTCTTTTGTTCAGACATGAAGGAAATTGCTCTAATAGAGTGAAGATAAAAGGGAACTTGAAGTTTGGTTATGTTGGCAGGGTGGTGTGTCTCAGTGTGAGTGTGTGTTTGGATTGAGATATCATGTAAAAGTGACTCGAGAGAAGAAAAAGAAAACAAGAGAGTCAATTGACGGCTTGTTATTTTAAGAGAGAGATGCATGGTGCCTCATGTCTTGGCCATCCCACACTCACACTGGCCCACGTGAAACAAAAACCCGCAGTGCCCGCTATTACCAGTTATATATTATTAATTTAGCAACATACTTGCACCACTTAGCCACATGCTCTTCGCCTATAATTTCAGTCCAAACCCTACCCTCCTCATTTTTTATGAAAAACCAGTTAACTAGTATTCCTGTGAGGTGTGATCACGATGATCAATATACGTTTCATAACTCACTCAAGATCGTATACTTAATCAAGAGATGTTATAAATATTCTATAGTGATCAATAAATACAAGGATTTTTTTATTTTTTATTTTTTGCAACGAGAGTTATTAAAGAACGATTGATTTAGATAATATACACTTAATTTTGCAATAATTTTTTTTATTCCTAGTTTTATGTATAGAAAAATAATTGAGAGGATTGCCTCTAGTGTTTTGATCGGGTTTTGATCGATTAATGTAAATATATAGCTGTCAGTTGATTAGCAACATTGAATTATAATAATTATAAACTCTAGAAAAATATTGTATTAATATATTAATTCTTCATTGACGAGGTGTCATTAGCTTTGATTTTGCGTTTGAAACTTTGATGTCGGTGAGAGACGGTTAGAGAGGAAGAACGCGACTTTGCAGACTGTGCATTGAATTTGTGCAGTCCGTGACTTGGATGTTTCAAAATTCAGAAAAAATATAAAAAAGGGACATGCATTTCATCAATTCGTCAATTTATAAATCTCATTGATAACTGTTTTCTTAGACACCAAACCTATTAGTCGTATTTCGTACGCTCCATACCCACATGTCAGTCCCCAAAACTTAAAATAAAACTGGCCAGAATATGCCTTTTAAGTGTACTTATTTTTCATACATATTTAAACTAATATATTTACTATATATGAAGCTATTCTTATTTAAAACTGAAAATTAAAATCAAATATAACTATTAAAATTTTCCCCTTGATAAAGTGGTAGAAGTAAAGATCTGTGGCGGCGACAGAAACATTAGGGGTTGAAGGAATATATTGAAATTAACATGGCCGTCGCGGGTGGAGAACTTGAGCCGGGAGACATCAACTGAAGAAGATGGTGGGTGCAAATAAGAGGTCAAAACAATAGAGTTAGAGTTCTTTATTTTTCAGATTTCGAAAGAGAAATAAGGAATTAAAAGGGAAATTGTTTAGAGTTTTTAGATTTATACACCTAAAAACAAAAACAAAAAAGTTTTTAAAATCATTTATCACAAATTCACAATCCAACAAAACTACGACAAAAAGCTAAAACCATTATTTTTTTAAAAAGTCTAAACAAAGAAGTAATCAGTTATTTTTATATTTTTTAGAGTAGGAAAAATTAATCTTATCCTAAAATTACTATTAAATCCAGTCCCGATTACCTTTCAATTAAAATTAAAAAAATATTAACTTCAATCTGTATAACTAAGTTTAAACAGTTAATAAAAAAATATAAAAAAGTATTTAACATATTTAATAATTTATAACAAATATTTTATAATTTTAAATGTTTAAACTCAATTTTAAAATATGATTCCGAATTCAGTAAAAATTGAGTGAGGACAGGGAACACGAGGACTAATCTTAGATATTGGATTCCACAGGTGAAGGGTATGGTGGGTATGAAATTGATGGTGCTGACATCACTGGTAGATTCGCAAAGCTGAAAACATTTTCAATAAGAACAGTGGGGGGATAAGGTAGAATGTATGTATTAGAGGGGTTTCGATTTCATATACAGGAATTGGATTTTGTAAGATGTGACTATCCTTTTTCAAATTTATACTAATTTTTAGTTTTCAAGGAAGCATTTATTGAGAAACATATAAATTTTGAGATAATTAAATGTATATTATAAATATAAATGAAAAAGGCCATAAATTTTGGCAATAAGTGTGCACTCGTGGAGAATCAACTCTCAGCCACTCTGAACTAACTATAATTCCAACTTAACTTCGTAAATCTAAATTTAAACACCAATTTAATTACTTGATATGAGGGATTTTTTCAAAAGTTTGGTATAAGCTTCAAAAAGCTTGGACTATTCTTAAATATATGATATGTGTACAATTAGATCAATAATTATTCTTTTAAATAGACTAATAAATCTAAAGTAATACAAAAGCTAATAAATTTTTGTCTTTTTAAAAAAATCATTTGTATAATACAGTATCATAATAATAACAATAACATACAAATAAAAACATTTTGATACATTATTAGTATAAAAATTTTACATTGTTAACCAATTAAAATACATGATAGATATTAATTTTCAATTAATTATCATAAAAATTAATTATCTTCGCTTATATAATAATTTGATAACCATATAAAAATAATTTACATAATTAATGTATTCTAATTAAATTATTCAATAAACGAATTTATCAAGCCTAAAAAAAGTTAAATGACATAAAGCCTGTGATTTTTAATTGAATAAACTTCTAAAAAATATTGAAAAGTCTTAAATTTACTTATTTAATAAATAAATTTTCGACTTATGCATAATGTGGGTGAGGTTATAGATTTTGACAAACAAGTTGTCCTATTCTCATAGAACTACACAGATAAATATAAGAATAGAAAGAAACTAATAATTGCAACATTATTAACATAGATAAATCTGTTAGATGCAAAGAGTATTTGAAATTATTCTCTCTCATAATCTTTATGTCAAAATTAATATGGCAAGATGAGTGTATATGACAATCGCTTTCAAATGATTTTTTATTCTTTTTTTTTTTTTTGCAAAATGGGGAAATTAAAATGAAGATATAGAACATGAATCAGGATAGATAACGATGAAAGAAGCACAGGAGAAGACGGTAACGGAGGAAAACAGGAAAAATAAAGAAGAAAAAGGTACAACTAAAGGGAGACAGGAGCAGATGGAAAACGGGGTAGAGAGAAGCTGGACCGCGAATCGCGGCAGAGGGTTGTGTTTGTGTCTGAGGTTTGACGTGCTTAACAAGAAACTGCATTTTGCCGTCGCTATTCCATTCCATCTTAGGTATCAGTATCAATTACCTATGTTTGAGCAATCTTGTGAATCCAACGCCATTCCCTTTACTTTCCAATTGCATCTCTAACACCAACATAAAACTATAAATGTACTGATATACTTTTAAATATGTTTGATGTCTTATAAAAATAATATTAATTCAATCAGGGGATATAAAATGTTCATAAATTAAATTAAAATAAATTTATCAAAATTTATGTAATTTTTTAAAATAATAAATATTTCAGTATATTGCTTTAATTAAATATATATTATATTTAAAATATAAATATATATTGTTAAATGGTGTATTTATAAATACTTAATTTATTTAAAATTTGATAGCTACAATTATTAAATTATCATAATAATATTACATAATTTAATAGTAAAATTGGTATAATTTACTTTTTAAAGCAAAAAATTATTAAAATTATAGTTATACAAAGTTTAAAATTCAAGATTAATTATATATGTCATTTAATTATTCAACTCCAATAAAATTTAAAATAAATTATTTGAATAATACACAGTTAATATTTAACGATTATATTAAATCGTTAAAACTTAAAAGTTACATTTTATATACTATCATCAATAATATAATATTAATATAACTCCCCCGGGCATAATTAATTTATCGTCATACAAGCCTATAACTATTTACAGATAATTCATTTTTATGTCAGCAAATCAGAAAGTTGATATTAAAAATAATAAAACACACACAGACACTTAAGGTATGTTTAATTTCTATTTTAAAAAGAGTTTTTTATTTTTTTTAAATGTAGTATAAATTTATATTATATTTAAAAAAAAACAGAAAACTTTTTTTAAGAGAAATCAAACATACTCTTATATAAAAGTGCTTTTTATTTTTGTACAAATTAAATTATAACTGTTCATCGTTAATAAATTTGATTCTGAGCTTTCGAAAGCAAACGAGCTCTAAGTGTGTTTATTTTAGAATTTAACATTTTCTCAGTCAAATGGGAAAAGATTTTTTTGTTTTTCAGAAACGTTGCGCTGAGAATTCTAATTTTAAATTACTCTAAGAATTAAAAAAATAAAAGACCAAAGAGTAAAAAAGAGAACTGACGATAAAATTGCACATGAATGCCACCCAGTATTTTTTTTCTTCATTTTTTTAGTTAAATATTTTACTATTTATCCATAATACGTGATTTTGTTAAAATTGGTTCTGAAAATGTTTCTTACGAACTAGTCATCTAGCAGATGCGTTAGAAACATGCGAAGATAAGGAGGAAAGGAAAATTGGACGTCAATTGTTAATTTTCCAGCGGAGTAAATAATTCCTACAAGTATCTAGATATTCTCAATGTTTTATATTATTTATTTTCTAAAAAAATATGTTTTTAATTATTAATCATACAATTATTTTGATAAAACTGTTTTTGACAAAACACTTATTATTAAAATATTTTAAATATGATTATAATTTTGATTATAATTTTTAAGTAAATATTACTGATAAATAAATATTCTTTTAAGAAAATATTTTCTTAATTTTAAAATGCTAAATATTTCAAGATAAATAATAATAAAAGGACCTATAGAATAAGACAAAGGAATAGTATTTAAACATGAAATAATCATTCTTATTTTTTAATTCAGTTAACTGTTCGTTTCAATAATTAGCTAATATTGCAACTTAATAAATGGTTTTTATAAAAAAATAAAATAAAAATTAAAGTCGATGTTTAAATCTAGATTCGGAAAGGGATTGATTTCTGCATAAGATTTGGCAGAGGTGGAGAGTGGTGCATCACATAAGTGCACAGCTACGACATTTGATAATCAAAACATTCAAGGACAATTGTACACTGCCATGGGACCCACAAGTTATCCTCTGGCTTCTGTAATCAGATCCGTTTTACATGTTCATAGCTCTTTGTCGCACCAAAAGTAATTATTTTATACTCCATAAAAGGTGTAAAATAAGAAAAAAAATACTGAATGATAAAATAAAAAAATAAATTAAAAATTTATTTTCTTGCCAGCAATTTTTCACAACATTGGGATATTCATCATATCATTTCACCCATTGACGGAGGAGAACTATTTGTTTAAATTATTAAAAAATAATAAAAAATTTAAATAAATACAAAATATATTTTTTATTTTAAAATGTATAACGGTACTAGATGATTTTATCTGTCATTAACTGAAAAATAACATCGCAAATAATAAATATAAATTTTCTTCTTACGTCTCAGAAAGAGAAACCTCACTTGCCGAGTTCAATCCTTAAACTACATGTCTTACTTTTAACAATTTTTTTTTCTATTTCTTATCCCTTCAAAAACATTTAGATAAACACCATAATTATTTAACTGATTCCTCTAATTCAAAAGAAGTTTAATAAAACTTAAAAATTTAATTTATTAAGAAAATTATACCTTTTTACTTTTTATTTATTTTTTAATCTCTTAACTTTTAAATTTCAATTTGAACTTTGATTTTTTAAAAATATTTTAAATATACTTTTTTTTATTAAAGAGATTATTTTCATTAAAACTTTATTTTATTTTTACACATTATTGTTCCTTTTAATTTCTTAATTTTTCCTTTTCTCCTTCTTCCATCTCTTCTTGTTCCCTCGATACATGACCACATCATTAACATCAACAACAATAGCCCCTTCGTTCCCGATCACCGTCTCCCTTTCTCTCATCTTTTGTTACCATTGCGCTTACATTTCTCCAATGCCACAACTCCCTCCACTCTTTTCATGTCATCTCTTCCAAGCTCTCTTATTTCTCTCTCTCATCTATGTTGTCATCGATTTCACACTAGAATTAGTGAACTATTTTGATGACCAAGCCTCTCATTTGATGAAATTGTGGGGTACCCAATCTAGAACTTGAAGATAGGATCAAGCTCTCATGCATGGTTCGGGTGGCAATGTTGAGTGTATATTGTGACTTCACTCTTGGCAGGTTATGCACCATGCGCTGTATAATAGCACAAGCAGGACTTTATTCTTTCAACGCTACAGTTGAATTGACTTACATGGTGACTCACATAACATGCGAAAAGAATGACGAGAAGGACAAAGAAGAAGAAAAACATAAAGAAAGGTAAAGAAAAAATATGCGAAAGGGAAAAATGTTACAAGAAAAAAAATGATAATATGACAAAAATAAATATCACAAAATTAACAGCCTTAATAAAAACAATTTGTTGGAAACAGACTTAAAAATTACAAGACTAAATTAAAAAATTTGAAGCTATGAAATAAAAGTAAAAAAAAGGAATTACATATATAATTTTCCCACTTATTAATGTCAATTTTAAGTAATTAGTAAAACTATTTAATTAAAACACTATTGATTACATTCAAAATATATAAATATAATAAACATTTTTTTAAACTGTTGATTAGTTAAGATGAATCCAAAATACAAACTTAATCGTACACTGGACTAACGAGTGACGTGTTGCCAAATTATGGCTTGATTGAAATGAAAGAGAAGCGCAAGGTGAAGGAGAAATAGGATATGTCCCTTCCGATTGAGAATGTGATTAGGCTAAGCACAGCGTCTTGACTTTCAGTGTCTACAGTCTGCACAGCAACAACACTATTTGACTGACGCATCTCGACAAGACCCAACCTACCCTAGATCCCTTGTCCCCACTTCAATTTATGAATTACTTTCTTTTTCCTTTGGTTAATTAAACAGAAATGTCACGGTAAAAAGGTTATATAACCTTATAGTATGTTTCCACATAACATGTGTTCACTTATTAAAAAATTGCATACTTGTACCCCAAAATCAAAATGGATATCTTAGAAAGATCAAATAAAGAAGAGAAAGGGATATATGAAAACTGAACGCCCTGCAGCTTCAGGCAGACAGTAATGTAAAGTTTATGGCCTTTTTAGCTGCTTCTACTATGTTTGCCTTTTTCTCCTTGGACTTGTTCTTAATTTGCCTTTTTCTATTGCATGCCCACCTTTTTATGGAATGGGGGACTGTGATAAGAAACATTTGCTGTTGGTCTTGAAAAAGATATCTTTCAACTTTGATAAGAATAGATTTGATTCGAAGCTTCAGCATATCTTATTGATTAATATATAGTATTATATCTAATGGTAGACCAGACCAAAGTTTGTAATTACAAATGCATGCTATGAAATGTTGACAAAACTGTAAGAAACTTGTTGGAAGGGCACGATTTATTGCTGGCCGCATGGCTAAAAAATATACAAATAAAAGCTGGAAAGAAGAAAAAGGAGGGTTTTCTCTTGCCACTATTTAGAGAAATCTTACGACATTTTTTTCAGAGTCCCGCTTCATGTCCCACGCTAGAAAGCCTGTAATAGCCCGGCAGCTTTAAATTAAGTACAACTTATAAAGTTAGGCCCACCAGATAGAAATTCCAAGCATTCAGATTTTGACACTTTTTGGAGGAACATAAATTTTCGGCCATGTATCTTTTTTCTTTTTGGTATTCATGTGCAGTTTTTGAAAATTTTTATGTACATATATTATTTAGATAAATTTCACATTTTATTGGTTAATGAGTTAGTGATCAAATCGATCAGAAGTGAATACATTTTAAAAGTAACATATAAAATTATTAAAAACAAATTAGATAAAAGTTAAAACAAATATAAAATTACAGTATTATATATTATACGATAAAAATTCTACAATAAAAGATTAAAAAAAAGCACTTTTATTGGTGAATCTCTTACATTATATTAAGTAACCTATGTAAGATGACATCGGTCATCATTATTCTTTTTGGTTGAATGTTAAAATTGCAAAAAGAAAGATAAATAGAAGAAAATAAAATTAAAACAACAAATTTAAACTAATGTTGCGGCGGCATTGTGATGATTTTCCGCATTTTTAGGCTCGTTTCAAATCTTTTTTAGTTCGTATTCATTTTGAAATCATCGGCTAATTTTTTGAGTTAAATGAATAAGTTTATTCGGTTCGCCCATTTTTTTTTATCAGTTACTGCTTCACCCATATGGATAAACTCATTAAAGTAAACAACGGTAGCTATAATGTTGGCAATTAAAATAAATTGTATGATTGAAAAATATCGTTGTTGTTACGACAAAACTAATATTCAAAAAATAAATTTTTATTTTAAAAAATTAATATACTCAACTTTGTTAATAATCAATTATACATTTAAATAATTATAAAGAAATTTATTAAATTTTTTTAAACATAAAACTCTTATGATAAAGATTAAGTAATAAATTATTTTACAATTAAATTCTATATTTTATAGTATCTCTTATTTATAGAGTATGGAGGATGTTTTCTTTTCTTAATAACTAAGCAAACAATTTTAAATTAAATTTATTTATTTTTTTATAATGTTGAAGAGTTTAATTTAAATCTATCTTTTTTTTACGATGAAGAAGAGTCTAACTTAAATTTATCTTCTTTATAATAAAGAGTTTAATTTAAAACAACACATCAAAATTAACGAATCTAAGTAATAAAAGAAATCATATCACCTAAATTTTTTGCCATAGAATTATTAAAACATTTTCATTCAAATTCGTATTTAGACGTAAAACTTCCAACGATATGTAACTTCATCCTATAATAACCACCAAAATTTTCATAAGTTGTTCAAGTAAATAAAAAAAAATACACGAGAATAGTCCTCTTAACCTGACAATATGTATGTATACTACAGATCATAAAAGAACTGGCACATATCGCTAATATAAAAAATAAGAAAACAATATTAGCAAATAAATAAATGAATAAATAACCATATGCAATGCCACGTATAGTCCTGACAAACGCATTAAAGTCGCTTGGATCCAAGGACCTAAAAAGCATACAAGAATGGATCACAACATGACAACGAACTTTCTGCAGTGTTAAAACAATGTTCTGTTATCAAAGTTGCATATGATGCTTGGTAAATAAAGATTGCAGCTGAATGCAGTCTAGTTACCAAAACTGTGCAATTCCATTACAGTACTATATCCAAACCCTTCAATAATTAAACCTTCAACAGATAAAGCTATATAGGAACATCGTATTTTATCACCCTCAACATGCATACTTGTCAGCAAAACCAAAATTGCATCTTACTCCAAACATACTATAGAGGGAAAAAGGGGATAAACCTGATTATTCATTGTCCTGCTACACTAGTTATCAGGAACTCATTTATTATTGCATCCACTCTCAATCTGCAAATCAGCTTTATTTCAACACAACATACAAAAATCAATTCTGGTATTCCTATATATGTTAAAATTTATTGTATAGTTTTAGGCCAGATCTAAGGTTACCAAAACGGGTTGGTTCGGTTTAAATAAAATTACCAATAAAAACTTATAAGAAAAATAATAAAATAAATTTATTTCATAAATAAAATTAATTTATAAACTTGATTTTTTCTTAAAATAATTTCGTTTAACTTTTCTAAATGTTCAAGTAGATTAGTTGGCCTTAATTTTTTGGAAGAAGTTCAATTCATTTCTTTCTCTTTTTTCAGTTAAAAGCACTTACTGGGAGGTGGGAGGGGTGTTCCTTAATTTTTGTTCTGGGCATTGGCAAATAAATTAGGAGCTTGTTCATATATCAATAGGCCTTCACTTATTCAAATAAAAAATTTCTGTGCTCTCTTTTTTTACCGAGAATTGCGCTACGCTCTTAATCATCGATGTTTTTGGTCAATATCAATGTCGGTTCAGAGTGATAAAAGTTGTCAGATTTCGGGCCAACAAACCTACCCACCCACCCTAACTTTGGGCCAACCTAGGTTGGGTCTCAAAAATATTCAATTGATTTTTTTTTTATCTCAACCCACCCACTTTCACGGATCAAGTTATGAAATTGTGACAAGTTTTATCCCAATTTATTTTTCCAACCTGACAAAAAAAAAAGATAAGTTTTTCCAATGATGTCGTGCAAGAGAATTTCTTAAGTGTACACTGTTTACCAAAATCAATCCATGATATGATTGCGTGTGTTAAAATGTTTAATGAAGTAAGTGCGTAAATAATAATATGATAGACAGTAGCCACTTTACTTTAAAATGGTTAACTTGGACAGAAACTTGCCAAGCCCAATCAACATAATCATATACTACTAGAATCAGTGCTAGTCCCTCTCATCATAGCTTAGTAATAAGTTAAGAGTAACATGCTATGTAAGAGGCAGGTTCAAATCTTGTTATATGCAAAAAGCACACTCTTAACTCTCCCTCTCCCTCTCCCAATCCTAATCCCATCCCCTGGAGCAATAAATAAATCAAAATAAAATCAGTACTAAAATAATAAACTACCAGTCCCCAATACTAAAAATGGGTACTTGAAGCTAGGAAAAATCCAAATCAAAAGCAGTAAACAAAATAGTATACTTCTAAAATTAACTGAATACAATGAATTTATTTAGTTAAACCGCGCAAATCGAATTATAAACGGATTCTATTATGACTTGGTTTAACTAAAAATATATTCAAGATGGCCACTGAATTGATAGACAATAAGCATCAGTGTCTTGCATAGACCTCTAAACCACGCTGACAGAAAGGAAGATGACAAATAATACAATTGAGATTGAAATGAAGTTAATATTCGGAAAAAAAAAGGGCAGAAAAATTAGCCATACCGTAGATGAAGTTCACAGCCATCTTAATGGAGGAGATGAAACAGTCACGTATTTGGACACTTGGCATCCCCATGTGTGTATGGTATTCATTTTTATTTTATTTTTATAACCGCCAAATTAATTGCCCCAAGTTGTGAACCCAAATCAAAGAATATTGACATTAATGTAAGGCCACGTTTGTCTACAGTAGTGCAATATAAATGTTGATAAGAGATGCAATGAGCACTGAAAATTCAGCGATGCAAAAGGTGCATTGGTGATGATGTTATGTCCAACTAAGCATTTTCTTTTCTTCTTTAACTTGCATTGCGTTCACCGCTTCCTTTTTGTTCTCCAATTACACCATGTAGCTGGTTCGTGATGATATGAATCAAGTATGTCTAAGTAAATGCTGAGATGTAAATGCACTATGCTGTTTAATCCAAGCACACTCAATCTGCTATGCTATCAGCTAAGAGTAAGCTATCTGTTATTGTTAGTTAGGCAGTTATCTCATTCTGTTACCAAACCATATTGTATATTTTCTTTAGTAACATCAACCTCGCATTTTCATTAAAAACAAACAACAATCCTAAGAAATCTGTGTTGGCTAAAATCCTAGCATGATGACATAAGAATTCAGGTGGGTGAGTCATGATATGCTTGATCAAGTCCACTAATAACCTCACCTTTTTTCTCCACCTTGCCCTGTTACAATGGTGTGAGTCAATAGATCCAAATGAAATTGCTCAACTCTGCCGACAAATTATTGTGACCTGGAATTTAGCTTTTGTGTTAAGTGTTCACTTCACTTTTGACAGATACGGTATAAAGATATGGAGGCCAAAAAAAAAAAAGAAAACCCGTTAAATTGAAGGATGATCATTTATCTTGTTCTATCATTTTCCCTTGATGTGTTACAATAGAAGGGTGGTTGTTCCAATCATTGTCTCGTGGGTCGTGACTCATCCCATAATTGAGTTTCTATTAATACGAGGCTTCCGACCAATGAACCGGATCTGAGAATGAAGGGTGAACAAGAGAGAATGAATGCAGAATAAAACCAACAACAGCACTAGTCACATTCATATTCCCATCCAACATATGAGATAAGATAACGACACTCACCACATGGTACTAAGGGTAGTGCTTGATGATAAGGCTACAATTCCCTTTATGAAGTGCCCTCCGATACCAATTAATAGACCCAGAAACGTGTAAAGTCTGGGAATGTGAATTTGAGATGAGACCATTTGATCAAAAGCAGTATCCGATGAGCATCAGCTTACAAGGGCAATGGTCCATGAATTTTTATGCTTTGGAACTGAGGAGAATGCACGATATCAGATATGAAAAACAAGTCAAATAACTAACTTTTGCGCCTTCTATTGCTGTCAAAACAGTTGTGTCAAATTGTCAATAGATCAAAATAATGTATGGTAACGGGCAGAATATGAAATCAATTAGTAGATGATTGATATTCATCCCTAAACTAGCAAAAAAAGAGAGGCATGAAACATTCTTGAAAAACTTGTACAAAACACACTGAATTCCTGAACCCATTATCTAAATATCGAGTAACTTGAAATTTTAGGTTCTATATTCAGAGCTAAAACACGTTGATTTTGCTTCCTCTGTCACGTTTCCATTGACCACACGAAATAGTAAAAAGAATTTTGAGACTTTTCTTACCCTACCTTTGTCTCGTCTAAGCTGTATCATCAGATAAAGAAGCAGAAAAGCTTGCTTGGAATGCAAATTAGAGATACATATATACTATTCTCTTGCTCAACTAGTTTTAAAACTGCAGAATTACATTTTAACCGATTTTCCTTTTTTTAAAACGTGGAAGATGCGTCGCTTGGATGCACTATCTCAGCAATTGGTTGAGGGAGTACCACAATGCTTTCAATCGGATCATTTGACTAATCAACTGATGCCAGGTGCAGTGCATTATTTTCATTGCTTACAAGCCCACCTGGAAGCTTATTATCTCTTTTATTCTTTGGATCATCGTCAATTGTTTTCCTTTGTTTCTTTTGTTATACAACATGCTCCGTTCCTCTAACTTTTCTTGATGTGTATTTCATTCATTGGATTCTATTTAGCAAAAAAGTTGTGCCTGGGAAGCAAGAATCATGATCTTTTAGCATGCTATTTATGCTATTCGTGGATCAATGAATGGCAAATTTGAGACTCAAAATTGACTGGTCTTGCCATTGGCCAAAATTATTTGGAAACATCATTGAAAATAAAATTTCAAAATAAGTAAACCAGCAATTTGGATTATTTCAAACAATTTTGTCACTATTCTTCGTCAACCAAGATTAAAAAATAAAACCAGAAGAGTACACTTCAAGCATAGTGAGCTCAAGATAAGATTCTTTTAAGATAAGAATAACTTGCCCCAAAGCTGAGTTTTTCCCCTACACGTCGTCTAAATGAAGGATCATGTTGTCCGACTCCAGAAGCACTTCCTGGATTTGACAGGCCCTTGGATTCGTTTACTGCTAGTGCCAGATATTCTCAGTTACAGTATTTTACTATTCCAAGATCAAGCGTAGGATTTGGACGCATGTATACAGATGAATAAACAAAAAGCCTTTCCTGCTTTTCCAAATTGACCAGGGAATAGCACTTCTGTTGACCTTGGATGAACCAAGTACATAAGCAAACCACACACGATTTGTCCAACAGGATGATGTTCAATAATATTTTCCACTTTGAAGCAACACATGGCAATTAAATTTGGAAAAGATGGTAACATGAATCAGATCACCTGATTCAATACCAGATTTCGGTGGTGTTGTTTTTCATTTCCCATTGGCCAACATGTTTCTGATTTTTATGGAATTATTACCAACTTGTAACATTTGGCGTATAATATGTACAAATTACAAACTCAAATTACGATACCTACAGTAGATGATGGGTTAAATTAGCATTGGAAAACAAATAGTGAATTCAACATATATAATTGAAAAGACAAGTGAAATTCCATTGCTAGCTAAACAATATATAAGATATGGTGGTTAAAGAACTACTGCTACATGGTACTACCACTACCCCCAATTAAACCTCATTCTATCCAAAGGAATTGGAATTTGTTTGTTAAGATTCCAGATATCATCATCCCAGACAACATCACTGTACAAGGCACCGAAAGCTTCACCCAAGAAGTCCATGTCCCACCCTGGGAACCAAGTTGAACCCCATGACATTTGCTCATCCACCACACCTCCCAACCATGGCATATACTCCTCCCAATTCCACCCCATCACCACATTATCTCTTGCTCCATGATGCACCAACCCACCAACCATCATCATGTCTCTACTTTCCTTCCTTTCTTCCTCCACAACACTCTTCACCACCTTCTGCTCACCCTCTTTCTTTGCTTTCTTTTTCCCCATTACTGCTGCCACATCTTCAACAATTGGACGGTTCATGTTCATGGGATTAACCCCATTCACATTCACACCTCTCTGCCTCTTCATCTTGGTGAAGAAAATAGGGTCTTCTTCCCCTGTGAGCAATGAAAAAACAAAGTGAAAGTGAGGGTATTTATACAGAGGAAGAGGATTGCATAGGTGCCAGGAGGTTGCAGAGGTGTAGGAAGATATAGAGTGTGGACAATTTTGTAATCAAGTTGGGGTGTGATGATGTGATGTGAGAAGTCCTTAAGGATCTTTTGGGAGTTTTATGCATATTCATGTGGTTAACCGGCACCCCCTTTCTCTAATTTGGAACATAACGACAAAATATCTTACCTTTGAGACAACGCAGGGGTCAAGTACCAAAGATAACCAAGTCAAACTCCTCTTCATCTGGCCCATATTTTTTATATGTAGGCCTAATGCAATGAATTTTTCGGTGAAAATGAGGTGGCTGTTTGTTTTAAAAGTAACCAAAGGTTCTCACCTTTTTTTTACAGTTATATGAGTATTACCTAATGAATCGTATTAGAATCATGCATCCACATGACCCTCCCCGTAAAGCTTGTGGTTTGCTTGCAAGTTGTTGCAACTTGCTTCTTTCTTTCATTTCTTTTACCCTTTTAAAAATCCTACTTTGTTAAAACTCGCAAGAAATCAAAGGAGAACTGTGAATTCTTGTCTCGGGAAGGTAAATCTTAATTAGAACCAAAGTTTCGAGTTTCAAGAAATCATTTTGAATAATAACATTTCTTTGTTTCATTTTAGATGACACTCTTTTTTCTTTTTTTTTATCTTATTAATATATTATTTTTTACCCCGGTTAGAGTTACTGTGCTTTTTGGAGAGGGTAAAGTTAGCTTACCTGTACGGATGAAAATTGTGTCTACTTCTTTCATTTTTTCTTTGACATTTTAATAATTTTATTTCATTTGCTTTTATTATTTTTTATAAAATTAAATAATGATTAATATTTATTTGATTAAATTAATAAATAGATGGGATGTTAATTAATATATACAAAAGATATAATAAATAATAATTCACTAAAATTAAAAATTTTATGACATTTCATGATTTTAATACAAATTTATTATTAGATAAATTAAAATATTAATATTTTTTGAATCTTTGGTGGTGACATGTGTGTGATTAATGGAAGAGGCAAACAAGGGCATGCATGTTAGCCAAGCGGCAGTAGAAGTAAAAGTAGGTACTTAAATATTAGTAACATTGATTGATTTGAATTGAAGCGAGAGAGATGAACGGTGCATGTGTCAGATGAGTGCCTTGGACTTAGAATAACAATTAGCAATGCTTACTGATAGCATGCCTACTCCTGTCACTGCTATTAAACTGTTGCATGCATGCTCACTGTCGGCATAAAGGCCAAATGGTATTGTGGGACACTTTGATACCCTGTTGACAAGTATGTTATGTTATATAGCAGCTGGAAAGTGGAAACCTCTCTCCCAACTTTGCCTTTCTTTTTAATTAATGTTGAATATCCATCCTACAACTTGTTTCCCTCTTTCGGATAACTACCTATCCATTAAGTATATTTAAATTCTCCTCCTAGTGGGGTCAACCCATGCACAACATGAGATTTCCTTCAGCAGACTTCGAACCTTACATTATTCAACTTGAACCAAGGGATTGTCATCTCCTCATATTAATAAGGAAGTATGATTACCACTTATTTAAAATATAAAATAATTTTTAGTTTCGAATATAATAATCTTATATAAAATGTTATCATTATTAAGCCAATCAATGTAATGTTTAAAGCCTTGAGGAAATTAGAATAACTTGCATCATGAAGATGAAACAAGAAGTTGAAGTATTTAATATTTATGTTCTGAAATAATCCAAGTTATTTAATGAAATATGATAATATCTTTGAACAAGGAGCGCGACACTGATTGGCAATACCTTATTATACAGCTGGAAGCTTCAATCAAGTAGCTCTCCGTAGTCCATGGATTGTGGATATTGTTTGCTACACTGAATGCTTTGTCTTGAATCTTGCTGTGATGGTTTGTTCATTGAGAGCGATTGCGAATAACAAGTTCACATGATGTGTGCCTCCTCTGCTCTCCGACTCTCTTCTGCTTTGGTACTTAATGGAAGAAGCTACGTTCTTTCTTCCTCACTCTCAGGTATTCAACTTATAAAGCCATAAAAATAATAATAGGTGAACACATTTGTCAGGTGTTTCTTCTCGTAAACACACATCATTGGATGATTTTATTTTTAAAGAGTCAGACTTAAATATAATATGTTATAAGTGTTTTTACTGTTGTTCTCTTCTTCAATTTCGAGTTTTACTTTAAACACAATTTTCAATGTTTAATATTATTTTTTAATTATTGAAATAAAGCACTATTTTTATTTAAAAAAATACTCAAAATATTATAGTTAAATTTTATTTTTTTTATTATTGAGTGAAGAAACACAATTTTTAAAAATAAAAAGAAAATATTATAATTTAGAAAAATTTTCAGAGAGAGAAATTTGTTACTTTTCAAATTAATATTTTTTATATAAAAAATTAATCAGTAATGTTTTTAATTAACACATACTTTAAAAACTCTTATTTATGATTATTTAAATTAATAAGTACCTTACACTCTATCATTCCCCTTTTGGTATGTTAATTATGACAGTTAAATGGAGCAAGTCGACCGCTAATGATGATTTAGCAAGTAAAATTATTATACCATAGTGCCACCATCATACATATGAACCAGCATGAATATTTGAAAAAAAGAAAGTTATACAGGCACAAATGAGTGTAGAAGTTGGATGCAGAAACGTGTCTCTTTGAAATTAAACAGGATTAAGAAATCCATTGAAAATATGTCCCTCTAAAGTACTGTACTCTTACCCTATAGTTTCAAATTTGTCGTCATAATATGATGAAAAGTTTTATGCGCTGACAAACCACAGCACTCTACAGAAGCATCAGTTCAGGAATCACTAAGCGCAACAGACAAATCACCTGTCTTCATAATTCACGAAACTGACACAAAGGAAATGGTCTTAATGACTCCTTTTTTTTTGTCCAAATAAGGCATTATTGCATTATGGGCCGAAGTTAGGCCCAGGCTTGTTACAGGGAGATTTCTCCTGCTGGGAGTGAACTTTATAGTGATGGTTTAGGCAAATTAAAAAATAAAAAACCATTAGTGACGGTACCAAATATCAATACCAATATCGTCCCATAATTAGGAAAATTTGGGTTAAACAATTACATCTTATGTAAATTAGTGTAATTAAGATAAGCGTGTCTAAATTTAAATTTATCTGTTTCGCATGACAGCATGTTCTAACTTTTAAATGTACGGTTTTCTAAGGTAAAATTAAGTATTAGTTAAATTTAAAAAAAAGGTGTCGGCATGTTGAAAATTTTAACTTTTCTCGAACGAATACAGTTTAATTCAATATACAGATATTAAAAGGCATAAGAATAACTACACCGCGTTAACCCTTTATTATTTAATTAAAGTTGCGTTCCTAAATTATATTTTCCTCTCACAAGTAGAGATACATGCAGTGTGATTTTCCTGCTTATAAGGGAGACCTTTGCAGTCCAAAGTCAACCGGCATCTTCCAAAGATACCGGCGACTGGGAGCATAATTTGGACGATAGCTACGTCCATCGCTTAGGGTTAGAGAACTATTGCGTCCATCAAGAAAATTCGTTTCATTATATGAGAGAGAGAGAGATTCTTTAATACATACCGCAAAATAAAATAGCATATATCACCTTCTTTTTTCTTTGTGAAAAGCATATCTTAATTTTACAAAAAGAAAAGAAATATTGTGACAAATATTGTCCCTAAATTGATACAACATCACTACGGAATTAAATCACAACTAGCTACAAATGTAATGGTATGTGGATATGAGTATGACTTCACTCCACTTGACCTTTCATTTTTATTATCAAAGCCAAATTATTAATTATGAATTTAAAATTTGGGATTTGTTCTATAAAATAGTCAATAAGATAATTAAAATTTGTTAATATAATTATTAAAAGTGTAAGTTAATAAAATATATAATTAAATTTTGTTAATAAAATAGTCAAAACATAGATGGACCTATATAACTTTTTTTAAAAGTGTAAGTTAGTCTCAGATTTCTAAAGTTCTGTAAAAAAAAACATAAAAACATAATGGACAAATAAAAAATAAATATAGTTTAGGTTTAATTGCATTTTTTATCTTCTAATTTAAATTATGTATGACTTTGGTCCTCGAATCTCTTCTAACAACTTCAAAAATTTTACAAATTTAGTCCTTCATGGATACGCAGAATTATTATTTAGACAAATCTAATTATCATCTCTAGATAACATGCAATACGCAATATCGTTCTTGTTCTTGACCTAAAAAACGCAAACAAACCGTGAAGTTAATAACAAGGTCAACAGAACTGTGAAGTGTGAACCTCGCAAACACCCAAAAATAACCATTGCGTGGACAATAACATCACATCGAGCTAACATGTTAAAAAAAAGCGACCAACATGAAACCTTCAAAAGGCAGCAACAATTGATTGAAAATTATGTATATAGGACGCGCTGCCCATTCCCAATTCTTCCGTGACTCTTCAATTTTTATAAGGACTATTTAAACTTTCGCGTAAAACATAAGCAAAGCTCTCCGAGGAGAGGCAGGATAAGAAGAAACTAAACTAACATCATCGTCAACCGACAAGCAAGAAACATAAATTTTCTTTTTACGCAGTAAACTTACAAACTTGCTCGTGCTGTTCACATTACAAAAGACCCATCAACTGAGAATTCTCAAACAAAAGCATTCTTTGTACAGATTTTCCTTCTTAAGCCGCTAGTTACAATTCAAAGACCCGTAAAAGAAATCAAAATGAAATATCCCATCCTCTAAAGGCTTATACTTACAGAAAAGAGGACGGTATTAAACACTAGACAGGGACAGGGCCAGATCTAACACCCAAATTAACCCTCTATCATTATTGTGGACTAGAGTAGACGATACTCCCTACGCAAGACACTATTGACATTTACATACACTGCGGATTAACTGAACATATTTACAAACAGACACGTGATAAAATTTTATCATTTCCTCTAAACTCGGGCATCCAAAATTACTCTTTCCCGTTGGTATGAAGACTCTTCTTCTGTGATTATGTTTATGTTGAACTTAATCCTAACATCAAAGACGCGTGTGTGTGTGTGTTTGAGGGCTCTAAGCCAGAGCAGGGATGCTGCAATTTCGGCTGTCCCTGTCAAGGCAATCGAACCCCTCAATTCTCACAGCCGGATTGTTACCAAAATTGGCTCGAACGCAACCTCCCTTCCGCGCAGAGGAAGAGGGAGATGGCGGCAAGCCGGCCGGGGCTGGAACCACCACCCAGGACGAAGGCGAGAGTGGGGAGAAGTTCTCATCCCCGAATCGAGCATCCTGAATCAATGGGTTAGCTACTCTGCTCGGCGGTGACCCGCAGAAAAATGGGGGCGACGAGGCTATCATTGGGCACGATTGCTCCATGTCACAATCACCCTCCTGTAAACCCATCCACACACACAAACAATTCCATCTAAGCACAGGTTTCAACACTAAACAACAAATCAACCTAAATCGCAAGATCCATAATAAAACACAAAACTTAAGTAAATGAAGGAAAACAAAAAATACCTTGGTGAGAATAGTCTCCAAAGGATTAGAGCCAGATGAGTTTGAATCACATGGATCCTGGCAACTGCAAAAAAGAAAAAAAAAATCCAAAGTTCAATAATATAATAATATTAATCGAAGAAGAAAAAGAAAAAGAAAAAAAAGGACAGCAATTATACCTGAGATGCCATCGAAAGGTTCTAGCAGAGTGTTCGTTGACGGCGAGGTTGAAGAGGCCGAGACGGCGGGGCTTGGGGCAAATCACGGAGTCCCTGCCGCTAATCTCTTCGTGTGATGGGACGACGACGTTTTGGATGGCGAATTGCTTCATCTTCTCCTTTGGATTTCTTATCTATATTTAATTAACAACTAAAACCTGTTCACCGCATACATGTCACAAAAACCAAAAATTAGAGCGAGGTCATCTATATTCAACAATAAATGAAATTCAAAACCGAAGAGAATAAAACAAGCCAGCGTTTCGAAACTATATTTTGAGAGATCGGAAACGTGCATGAATATTTGGACAGCTCAAGGCTAGGATATGGTCAAACTCAAACCTAATGACAAAAATTAATTATAATTATGCCTAGAGTTTCACAACCTCAGCTCCTATGATAGCTATTAACCTCGCCTACAGATCTAACAAATATCATAGAATTTAAAATAAAAAAAATGTTGTTTAAATTAAAAATCATTATATCAACTGAGACAACAACAAAATGAGTATTCCGTGAGGTAGATCTGAAAAAGGAAAGTGTTGATTTATTAATTATACTGTTTTTAAAATTATAGTTGAATATGCGAAAAAAAACGTATAAGAAATTGAAAAAGGAAACGGTTGCGAGCAAAGATCTTGAAAAGAGGAATTAGTAGCAGTAATAATAGTACCTGTGAGGTGAGGTAGGGTTTGATTCACTGTACAGAGCCTGGGAACGAAAAGAATGGAATTGAAAGAAGAAGAAGGTAAAGGTGAATAAGAGAGAAACCCAAGAGTAAAGGGTAGAGGATACAGAAGATTGAACTTGGGGCTGCAACCACACTTGCTTTATATTTATCTTATTATTATATTTTTAATTTATTTATTGGGAAGATTTTTTTAATATTGTATGGTTAATTCATGCGGGCGGTGCCTCCCGCGATATATCACATCGATTTTCGCACCCTCAAACGAATTCTCTCTCTTTCTCCTACAGTAAACAACTAACATATACTATGATCAGATGAATTGTTTAATAAATAAAATATTTGGTTTTAATGTGGAAAAAAATCTTAAATATCAAGGGATCCGTTTGGGAATGAGAATGAGTCTTCTATGGTGGAGCGTACCTCCACAAGGACCGCAATTCACAACGGTTAACCTCCTCCCTACACGTGGCACCTTCTTGGAGTTTTGGGTTGGAAGGTCGGCGAACTCCCAACTCTTAAGAGGGCCGGCCCTACGATTCTTCAATCAAATCCCATGTAATTCATATTCTTTTAAAAAATAGTATTAACTTCACTTAAATACCAAGTCTTTTTTTAATTTCTCTATAATTCAAAATGAGTTTATTTCAAGATTTTAATTCACTTTAATAGTGCTCTTTTGTCGTTGGGTAGTTTGCATTGTGATTTCAATTGTAGATCTTTGTGCGGGAATGTATGGGTAAGAAGTTGTACATTTTTCAGGAATTTAATTAAAAAAGTATTGAGAAAATAATAGAGGTTTTTATATTTTTCACTGAATAAAAAATTTATTTGCTCATGGTTAAATACAGTGTTTTGAAAAAAATTAAAAAAATATTTGCATAATTCATATTCAAATAATATAAAACATGTATGATGAAATATTTATGAATATAAATATTTTGAGAGATATAATTATTTTTTGTTTATAAAAATAAGTATACTTGAGACTCAACTTAAATTTTAAAGGACCAGATTATATATATATGACAAATATTATCTTTAAAATGCAATTTTTTTTCATAGATGACATCACGTGAAAAGTGACTAAGGTAAAAAATATATATATGTTCAATAAGGTGATTTAAATATATACATGCAGGAAAAATGTTAATTGTATGATTTTTTAACTCTACGAAAAGGAGGTGGAGGGAAACTAAACAAAATAATAAATAAAGTTTCATAATATTTATTGATCCACATATTTAACCTTATCAATCATACAAGATTTTATTGATATTGTATTTAATATATTGATCTTAACATTTTGATATATATATAAATGTATTTTATTATTAGTCTTAGCATGTTTAAATAATAAAAATTTTAAATCAAAAATAAAATATTTGTTCAAATTTAATTTATGATATAATAATATTTTTTCAATTGCTTAATATTGATTTTAATAAAATTGTATAAAATAAACTCGACAGATGATATTCATATATCTTAGAAATTACTAATATTTCATTCCAAAATACGTTATATATTATTATTAAAAAATTTACATGAAGTGTAATTTTTATTGATCAACTATCAATAAAATTTAAAATAAAATTAAGATTAAATGACACCTTCAATTTTTTTATTATTTAATTGTTAATTACAGTAATATTACTATAAAGATCATGTACATAATTTTAAACAATTTAAATTTTTATTTGTCAATCATCTTCTTACTTATATTTTATATTTTTTCTTACTTTTTCATCACTTTTATTTTTCCTTCTCCTTCCTCCGTCATTCTTTTCTTTTTGTCCTTTTCTTCTTTTTCGTCTTTTCTTTCTCTTCATTTCACCTAATGTGTGAAATTCATAAATAAAAAGGAAAAAAAAAGAATATAGTGACAACATTGCTGAAAAAAAAAAGAATATAATATTAATAAAGTTTAAGTGAGATATTAAGTTAGATCATGTTTTCAAATCCATGTCATATTGACGACCAAAGTGAGAGGTAAGAATTGATGAAAAAAAATTATAATAACAACTAAAGAGTAAGAGAAAAAGACAATGACATAAATATGAAGAAAGAATAATGATTTACGAAAAAGAAGAAAATAGATAAAAAAAAATAAAAATTTGAGGGTAAAAAAGTAAAAAGAGGTTGGAGAGAAGACATAAAGAAAATGAATAATATACATAACAATAAATAAATAAACAAATTTTTAATAAAATTATTATTTTTACAAAAAAACAACCTATTTGAAATGTATAAAAAAGTTAGACCAACTTGTTAAAAAATTTTAAAAGTTAAATATGAAAACCAAATTTCTTGCTTCTTAATTTGTTTAAAAAATATATAAAAAATAAAATAATAAATTTGCTTTATAGAAAAATGGATTTTTTTAAAAAGAAAAATAATTTTGCTTCTCGAAAACAGAAGTCTTCATTACACATACTTGTACCTAATATCAAAAACCAGTTTTAAGTATGAAAAATGATAAATAATAGACTTTTGAAGTTTTGCAAAAACCTTAAATGTAGTTGATATAAAAGCACAGCAAGTAAGAGATCTAGTGGAGGGAGAACTTTTCGGAGGGAAAGTAAGAAATTTAAAGAGCAACAACAATTTTTTTTTTAAAAAGAAGAATTTTAGAGAGATATGAAAAAAAAGGTAAATATTTTAAAACAAAAGACAAAACGAAGGTAGTTAAAAAGAGAATAATTTATTTTAAAGGATGAAGCAAAAAATACTTTAAAAAACAAGAGTAAAAAAAAAAAAAGAGCTTCTAATATACGAAGATTGATCATCTTACTGTCATCTTGACTTCCTGTGTTGAAGGTGTCCTTCAGGTATGATAAATCTTCGCTTCTTGTATCCTTAATTGACAGATAATTATATCTAGTTTATTTAACAATGCTTCCACCAATATCATACAACCTACTTAATATCATGTAAAAAACCTAAATATGATATGTAATAACATAGGAAACGATGAATGGTAAGGTCATAATTTATTTTCAACCTGATTTGACTATTGTAACGTGATGATATAACCTTTTCTTCTTATTTCTAATACTTTCAATACCATTTTTCTGTAGCAAAGTGTGTATATTACGATAATAACATTATATACTCACTTTTACCAACTTTTTATTTAATGCACTTTTGTCAAAAATTTTATTATTGCACTAGGTCTTTTCTCTACAACTGGTCAACGATTTATTGTTGATCTATTAACTCTTTATATACACATATATATATATATATGTAAACTTTATTAAAATTAAAATTCATATTTTAATTATAAAAATATAAAAAATAAGTAGAACGTTAGTTATATGTTATTATTATTTTGTTTTGTTAAATATTTTTTTTAAATAAAAATATTTTTGTATAAAAAAAAATTCATAATAAAACATTTATTTTTACTTTTTCTACCATTATTTTTATATTTTTATTTGTTAATCGTATATAATTTATTCAATTATTTGTTTTAATTTTATATAAAAAATAATAAGAAAGAAACAAGACAATTTATTATTATCTCTATTATAATATATATGTATCATCTTTAACATTATGTATTGTGAATCATTGATACTTATGTGTACTAACATTATCTTAAGTTTTATATATTATTAATTTATATAAAAATTAAATCCAACTTATTAAATTAATCAATTTTATGATTATTTTTATTTAATTAAAATATATCACCTAATTAAAAATATACATTTTATTATAAAAAATAATAATTCATTTATTTTATTTAGTTAAAATAGATCCATCTCTAACTAATGCAGCGATTTATATTGTTATTGTATAATGTCTCTATCTTTATATACTTTAAATTGTTAAAATTTTTGTGTATTAATATTACCTTAGGTCCTACGCAATATAAATATATCAAATAGAGTGATCTTTTTATTAAGTAACTATTTTCTTTAATCAATTTAAATATATTTATTTCTTTCATTAAATAAAATTAATTTCATATATATATTTTTTTAAGTCACATTTCTAGCTTTAATAACTAATAATTAATTACATAATTTTATTTCTTTATTTTTATTACACAACATCGATGTATAATTTACATTACATTTGGTGGTCTAATAAATTATAAGAAATTTATGTATAACTTACATTATCTTAAATTTTCTTTCACTAGTAATCATAATTAGAATTCAAATATTTTGTTTACGAATAAAATGTTTTTAATGATTTGTAATATATTTGTTTAATTTTCTTTCACCTTCTGTATTATTTTTCGTAGGACACATGTATAATCACATTATCTTGTATCCTAAACATTATAATTTTATGAAAATAACTTTAATTTCAAAATAAATTGTCTTTTACTAAACTCAATTTTAGTCAACTAAACTTCGTAATCTTTTTAGATAGAACTACGTGACTTTGAGTTTCTTATTACACCTGTGGGATACATAAAAGCAGAAACTGAACCCGTCAAGTCAAAATAATTTTAAAAAATATTTTCTTAGATACCGAATTAATATTTCAATAAATAATTTTTCTTCTTCTAAAATAAAAATAATTAATGTTTAAGGATTAAATAAATATTTTTTCAAAATTAAAATGAATTTACACAATTAATTTAAGGTAACCGTTATATGATGCTAATACTTTCTTACATGTAAATAACTCTAGCACTCATTTTTTGTTTCAAAGATCATATTATTTTAAAAAAAAAAATTTCAAGTTTTTTTAAAATAAACTTGGATAATAACTCATCTAATTTTAAAAAAAAATATTTTTATTCTTAAAAAATATTTTTCTTAAACATGTTTTTACCATACCATTGCAACTGCCTGGTTACGACATTAAAGAATCAAATATTATATGAATTTAAGTTATAACTTATTAAAGGCTTAAATAAAGTATGACTCCCCAAATGTTTATAATTTTCTAATTTGATTCTTCATTTTAATTTTTTTTTAAACAAGTTTCCTGAAAATCATTTTTTTCCATACCATCCATATGTTAGTAATTGGTTACTTTTTTTATAGGATATGTTAATGTGACTTCTAAATTAACTCATAATGACATAAAGTTGAAGTGGATTACATATATACTTAAATTTTCTTCATATTTCCAAATCTCAAATTCAGAAGTTTGTACTTCATAATGTTATTTAAAAATAGTAAAGATGTGATTTATTAATGATACATATTCATGTTATGTCTTGGTTGAATTATAAGTGCCAAATTACATATTCATGATAAAACACTCTCGTATTTCGAGTATTGCTTTACCTTGGTCTCTTTCATCCCTTTCCTTTAATTTTACCCAAAGATAACAAATATATCTTCAACAATCAAACTAATGTTTTCAGAAGTAGAACATATTAACCAACCTTTCACTGACTGAAATGTTTTATGCTTAGATGTTAGATCCCATTTGTGTTGCACATTTCTTTATAGCACACAGGATTCACTGTGAAATATGAATGCACCTTCGCAGCTCCTGTATTTCATTATTCAATAATCAAATAAGATTCCTTCAATGCCAATACAGCATGCGCCACTTCTTGATGTTTAAATTGACATGCCAAATTTTCTCACCAAAGCATAATGTGTAAGAAAGCCACGGCATCTCAATTTACAACAACTAAAACTTGGAAGAACAAAAGTATTGTGAGTTACTCCACAGAAATTGCCTCAAGCAACTTCTGGGTGTCTTCACTCACGTCTACATTCTCCATCTTCAATCGCCGTTGCATTGCTGAACTGGTCCTGCCAGCAGCTGCATAAGTTCTGATCAAGGATTCAAACACCTTTGCCCCTAGAGAATCCACAGATTTCTTCAAGATCTCTAGAAATTCTTCTGCACCATTGACATCCTTCTCTTGCTCAAAATTCCTCATCATGTTATCAATGAGTGCAGATGATGGAACCCATTTCTCACCATCCCCTCTACCGATTGATATTGCTTTGCCTAAACAATCCACTGCCAACTTCAAGTCTCCTTTTTGCAAATGGTAATCCAAGAAGATTTCCCATGTTTTTGCATTAGGCTTGGCCCCACTCCTCCGAGCACGCTCCTTGAGATCTTCAGCTTTCTGAAGCATATCTAATTTAGCATATGCCCTTATCAGAACATTTGCAATTCGAATATCATAAGTGGGGGAGCCAGATTCCCACTCCCGGAAACATTTTTCTGCTCCTGGGAGATCTTTCAATTTAACCAATACTTGAATCATATTCAGATAGCTTATATTTGCAGTTTTAGGAAATGCCAGCCTAAGAGAACGCCAGACCCTATAAACCTCATATAAGTTACCTGTTCGCCCGTACAACGTAATAAGAAACTGATAAGCAGAAAGATCTTTGAAAGCATTTCTCTTCTCTAATTCCTTAAGAGCAACTTCCGCCTTATCAACCAAACCAGCATCAACAAAAATAGATGCTAAGTTACTAAATGGTGTCCAATTTCCAGTGACTCGACCATCCCTCTTCATCTCATCATGAACCCTTTCAACACCAGAAATATCATTAACAGCGGCAAGACCTCTCATCCAGACATTATAAGTGTAAGCATCCAGCATGATATTGCCAGCCTTCATTTCTTGTATGATGGATGGAATCTTTTCTGGCTGCCCTGCTTTTGTATACAGAGTCATAAGACTGTTGTAAGGGATGGAACTTAAAGGAAGGCTAAGCTCCTTCATCTTTTCCATAAGACCTTCCGCCTTTTCAGTCATCAATTCCTTGCAGTAACAGTTTAAAAGGGCACCATAACATAGATGATTCTTAGCAGATTCGGGAAGATCAACAAAATGATTTTCAGCAGCAGCAATACCTCGAGTTTTTGCGAGCAGATCAAGATGTATAGCGTGATCACTGACAGTCTTGTTCATGTTCCTCTTAGCCATGGTTTCTGATAGCTGTAACACAAGAAAATGATAATTTATTTTCCATCAATAAACATTAAGGAAAAACTATAAACTGCTAAATATGAAATCTACATTTAGAACATGCACAGTTTTGTTCCAGACTTACACGGATAATCAGAAACAGCACATTATAGAATGTAAACCACACAAGACAAAACTATTCATTACTCAAATTTGAAAGAATAGAAACAACAATTTCTTTTATTTTAATTAAAAAAAATTGACACTCTCGTTTTCTTTAAAAGTAATGAAAAGTTTACCAGTCTTCTGTGCATCTATATTGTGTGTTTATGCTTGAATATGTTGCCAGCAATTACCGCCATTAGTTCACTACCATCCCTTCGAATGCCTTTGGTACAGCCACGATCATAAGCCACAACAACAACAGCCTTAATTCAAAATTTTCCAAAAACACCAATATAATTATTGCACTCTCCCCTTTACCAAACCTCACTTCAAAGATGCATCAATTAATTAGAAAATCGAAACTACAACATGGAAATTTAATAATAATAACAATTTCTACTAAATACCAGATCCAAAGTCATACATATAAAAAAAAGTTAACTACGGAAAAGAAATAAAAGTTAAAACCAGTAGGATCATTGACTTGCTCTGTTTCTAAACATTAAAAGCTCAGCGTAACGTAGAAATGGTTTGAACCTAAAAATGCAACCATGCATATGAATGAGCGTGACCTTGAGTGCGGGTTTATAGAGCTTGCGTTGGCGAAGCTTCTTGAGCGTATCACCAACCTCCCATTTGTAAACGCGCTTTCCGCTCTTGATAAAGCTGTTGAGATTCTGACAAACGCTGAGTTGGGAACTGCCATCTTTGAAGAGCTTTTGGTACAGCGCTTCGTCCAAGTACTTCTTGGACCGCTTCACCACGCTCTTGCTGCGCCCGTATCGTTGCATCAACGACATTTCCGAGATTGACGATGTTCACTGCTTCTTCACGCTCCCCGCGGGTTGGAAATTCACGGTTGTAGGAACCAAACCCAAAACCCTAATTGCTCCAAACGAGAACAAGATCCAATATGCATTTTCTTAAGGGCTTCCTGGAATCCTAAGCTTTATTAGCATTGGGCTTCCTGGCCTGATTTGGAACCTCATTTTTTAACTTTCTAAGTGTTTTCACCTGTGGGATGCACGGGAAAAAATAGTTTCCTTTAATAAGTATATATTGGGAATTAATTTGTTAAAATATAATAAAATATAAAAGATGTAATAAAAATGGATTTTTATACAAATATTACAAAATAAAATAAATTGTTGGTAACACAGTAAAAAATTACAAAACTGATCAACAATGGGATAGTAGTGTGGAGTTCAAAGGTTTAATAGATATAAGTATTAAAAATTAAATTAATTAACTTAAACTAAATTTATAAATCTTTTTTCTGAACGTTTAAAATAATAATATTCTTAAGATAAAAAAATAGTAATAGCAATACTCTTTTCAACAAAGGCTTTAATAGTAACATAAATCAAGTCATAAAGTAGATAAATACAAGAAAGTGCATAATGAAAAAAAAATAAAAAATAATAATAATTTTTCTTTGCAGTTCTCAACGAAAAAAATTGTAAATGTTAATATTTTTTATTCATATAAAAATTGTCGTGTTTATAGTTAATTTTAAAGAAATTTTTTTTAATGCTTATCCTATAACGTATTAAGCATGGGAAAAATGGTCTCAACCATTAACTTTCATCAATTAAATGTTGAGCTAAGACTAAGTTGATTAATTTTCATCAATTAGTCTTTATTTTAAAATATAATATGTTGATTAAGATAAGAGCCAGTTATACTTGAGCGTTGAGTTGAAACTCAATTAGATAATATAACATTATCAGACAAAAACTAATAAAACTAATAGTAAAGGCTATTTTTTTGTTTATTTAATTTTCTAGGAATTAAATTTTAATAACTTTTTAAAAGACAAATATCAAATATCGTAACTTTTCTAGGTAAAAATAGATTTAAACCAAAAATATTTTTATTATATTAATATACTCCTGTGTTAACTTAAAGACACACACTGATCCGTGATTTGATGTATTTGTTGGGATCTGCGAATTAGTATTTGTGAGTCAATCCGATGGCTAATGTCGTGGCTTTTGGATAGATGACATGTTGAATAAATGAAATAATTATAGAGAAAACCAAGACACAGGTATTTTTTCTTGCATCTATGCTTCCCAAGCAGTGGGGGACACGATATTTCCGGCCCTTAATAAATAAGTGTAATCATATTCTTGATTAATCTTGTCCAGACCTTGCAAATTATTGTCCTTGTTCAAACCTAAATTATCGGAAAAGTTTATTGCAGTCGATTCTTTTATATTTAAAAAAAAAAAAAATCCTCTACCTTCTGTCATCAACATAATCTTCTATTAAATCCATTAAAGCAACTGAGGGTGGTCGAGTTAGGCTTACAATTTGATGAAAAGGACAATTTTGGTTGAAAGGATTGACACGCTTTGGTCCCAAAACCTGTTAGTGTTCATACAACCACTATGTTGCCTTTGCTTTTTGGTAGTGCCTTTAAGGGGAATAAATCCAAAATCAGCACTAATGGGGAAGCATTACAACGCCTCATGCCCATGCTTAGCATTACAGAATCATTCTGTTGACGTATGCAAGTTTGTCAAAAATAAAAACTCTAGCGTGTATTAGCGTCAAAAACAATTATGTATTTGCACCTGCTTGACATCCACTATTGATGCACAGGGTAAGCAAACAATGATTTGACATCTCTAATTGCCACATTTTTGTTGACCGTTTTTACACAAATTTCAATAATGAAAAATTCCTGGGTCTTCTATACGATGATTGCGTGCTTAATTTGGTTAGGAAGCAAAAAAGTCAACCAGAAGCTGTAAATTGATCACAAAATGAAGAGAGAGAGAGAAAGAAAGACTTAGTTGTAAAGCACCATATTCTTCAACTTGAGAGATTCTTATTCTAAGAAAACAGAATAATAAGAAAAAGGAGAGGGGCTGAGGAAGTGAGGATAAAAGGAAGTAAGTGGTCATGAAGTTTTGGAAGGAATTTACAGCTCTCACGTTGCAATTGTCAACTTGTCTTTATGCTTATAGTCAGCGAAGTAGTTTCTCCGCAACGCACGGGTCCAAGGTTTGGAATGGAGGTTACATCACAGGATAAGGAAACATTCACAGAGCGAAGAACTTTCAGTATCCACCTTGAACAAGAAACTAACAAAATATCTTAACCAATTACAGCTATTTGATGAAGACACGTGGTAACCTTATTATTATAGAACTAAACACGCTAATAATCCAAGGTTTCGTATGAAAATTGGCAAACTAAAATTTACATTTTTTTACGCTTTTTGGTGATGGCCGAACAAAATGTAATGGGGTATACAACAAATTTTGTTTGGAACCAGCACTGGCAAGAAGAATGAATCAATGCCTTAAGTAACACAATAACTAGTTGTAACAGAGAGACATCAGAAGAACGTCAAATATGTGAGGCGCTTCCTAAATAAATCACTTTGCACCTTTCTTGAAGATTTTTTAATATGACAATCCCGTGGTTCAATTTCAAACCGAGGCTGGTTCAGTAGCAGCTGCAGCTCGTTTCTTGGCAAAGTATTCTTCAGCACGGGCAAGGTTTTTAGCAACTGATGGCTTAACCCATTTCTTGCGGCCAGGAAGCACAGTGAGGGAGCAGCCAGCACCCTCAAGTTTCTCCTTCGCTGATGTGGAAAAAGCACGAGCTTTTATTGTCAACTTCTTGCTCAATTCTCCTTCACCCAAAATCTGAAACCAAAAAGCAAAATAAACTCTTTTGATCCATCAAAATCAAAATTATGGGCCTTCCGATTTTGATGCACTGGATGGCTAAATAAAAGGCTGGCTTATATATACTAGCAAGTTTAAAGCGGTATAAAACTCAATCTTTTCCAAGATTTCCTGTGTTTCTAGGAAACCAAATAAACAATTAGAAAGAATGAATCCAGTAAGATTTAACCAACAGATGCACATAGCACAGTTGTTGACCTGTGTGAGCTGAAGTTTCAACTACTTCATATTAGCAAAAATCCTACCAGAAATTAATTACCAAAGTCATTCCAAGCAGCATCTTTCATTTTGAAAAGCTTACTGAAATCAATGTAGCGTGCAGTTTATTTACCCAAACATTACTCTTCTTCTTTTGGGTAGAAAATGATCATTTATGGATCCTACTGCACTATCATGGGAATGTCATTACATTTCATTATTTCTTTCCACGTAGATGACTTTCAACAGAAAATGGGTCTAGCATTTGGCCTCCGGAATGGTGATATGGAAAAAGCCATCACTTTTTATTGTAGAAAAAACAACAAAGGAACACCATAAAGATGCGGAAAAAGGAAATAAACCAGTGACTTTGGATGTTTATCTCCAGAAACGTAAACTGCAAAGTAGTTATTGCTTGAAAAATCATCATAATGCCCTATGTTTTAAAGGGGAGTACTGACACTAAATGAAGAATAAGACTACTGACCATAAACCAATTTATCCCCGTGGAGAGAAGAAATACAAGATTGACAATCCAAATACAGTTATTAAATGCTAAAATGTTTAAGTATACATAATTTGTGTTGTTCATAACACAGAAGAGAAGGATATTCAAAATTTGAACAACTTCAAACCACAGAGATATCCACACAAAATATTATATGTTTTTCTTACATACATATCACACATGCTAAAATACACAGACAAACTTAAACACCGGACTATGAAAGAACCTCAAAGAATTTACAGCAAGTAACTTTATTCACAGCAGAACAGGGGCCTCTGAAGAATAGTGTTTTTAGTAGTTTGTGCTACAAAAATCTAGCATCCTCATTTGTTGTTAAAAGTCAGTCATCACAATACCATTACACATCATGAAAATAATGTTTGAGAAGAAAGATTAAGACAACAGATAAGGGAGAAATTTTATGTCATCAAACCAACATGTAATGTGTACCTTCAAAGGAAGTCTCCTATCTCTTCCTGATGGATTAATTACACCCTTCTCCTTCAGTGTCTCCAGAGACACCTCTTCCCCCTCCTGAAATTTAGCATCTTCTATGTCTCTCAGATTGACATGGACATATTTCGGTAATCCAGCATGCATGCCTTATTTAAAGCAAAAAGAAAAAGAAGGAACATAAAAAAATAGTTCCAAAAGAGATACACGCACAAAGCATGAACTAAACAAGTTAAGAGAGAACTTATACAGAAGAACAAAAGAGAATAATTTTTAGAAGCGTCTGAACGGAAAAACATATGAAGAAGCGAAACTTAGGTGCTGGAGCTTGATATTATCCAAATTACAACAATTCCCTTCACACAAGAATCACCATTTCAGGACTCTTGCCTCTTAAAAAGTCAAGACATTAGAGATATATACAACATGGTGTCCACTGACCAGTCCCTACAATAACACTACCCTGTCTCTATAGGTGATATCAAACTGATGAATTTCCAAATATAATGCAGCAAGTATGAGGATTATAAGTAAGATCGAAACTTAGGTGCAACTCCTTGAATTGAATGTCATTGATGTTGTATACTAATTAAAAATAAAGTTTTACCTCGTTAATCTACAATAACATTAAATGCAAACATTTTATTAAAATAAAAGCCAAATTTAATTAGTAAACAGCACTACCATTACATGCAGAGCTGCATACTAAAACAGTTTATACACAGGATGCGTAGAAGACCAGTTTATCAGTCTATCCGAAAGATGGTGCAAGGGAATCTCTATTAGCATTACACTAAGGAAAAGTGAATTAAACAAAAACACAGCGACAGTGACAGTGAGATGAATGAAAAGAATGGTACCTCCTGCAATTCCTTTGAGTTTGGGGATTCGTCGATAAAGTGGCATTTGGCCACCTTCGAAACCCTTTCTGACGCCAGGTCCAGATCGAGATTTCTGACCCCTCATCCCAAAACCACAACTTGCTCCTTGCCCTGCAGCTATTCCTCTACCCTTTCTCTTTGCCCTCTTTCGAGAACCCGGTTGAGGCCCCAAATTGTCAAGCCGAAATCGAACACCCACACTGGGTGCTGTCACAACAGCAGAATCAACCTTACTAACGACCAAAGTAAGTGGTCTGGTACGCTTAATCTTCAGACATGGTTTTGCCTCCAAGGTTTTCACCGTTCCCTGCAATTGAAATTGACGAATAAGGATGTAAGAAGAAAGTAGAGAGATAGAGATGAACATTCTCACTTCACTTACCTTGAAAGGAGAAGCAAGAGACGGTAACCACGACGCAGGAATCAGAGAAACACTACTCATTTCTCCCAACTCTCTCTTTCCGATGAACCCCAGCAACAATAACGGATAGGATAAGTTTTTCGCCTTTTCCTTTTTTTTTTTTTTTTTTTTTTTTCTATTGTTTTTATTATACTAGTAATACCACCAATGTTGCTTAACTGAAAAAATATAACCACTAGAGTCATTTTGGACTTTTCATTATATTCGATTGTTAAAATTAACTAAGGATTAAAATAGAAATTTATAATATTTCGTAAAGTCGTGAACTAAAATTATTTTTCAAAAATAAATAATACTTATAAATTTAAAAACTAAAAAAATTATTTATTCTAAAGAGGTAAGGCATAAAAGGGAAGCATACATTTTTTGAGAAAAATGTAGCCAACTCTAATTTTGTGTGACTCACCAAAATTTCATTACATGAACGTGGCTCATACAAAGCTAAATAAATGTAGTCACGACCGCAAGAAGTTTAGGTTAGGGTAAATAAATAAATAAAAAAAAGATTTTAGTGCGGAATTAGAAAGCAACTGCCTTTATTTTATAATTTTTTAATATTTTACCTTCTTATTTTTAATGAATCTCAACTCAAATGATTATAGATTAAATTGGTCAAATCATTATCGTAACTTTTAATGTGACTTAAGTTTATTTTGATCCAACTTGATTTTATTTCCTAACTAATGATTTACCTACAAGTCTATAACTTTAAAGATGTGTCTAATTACATATTTTAGTCTTATTAAATTTTTGGTAAAGAAAGTACATAGGCATATTAATTAAAATGTTTGTTTGTTCATAGCACCATATTAAAAATTGAAAAATAATTAATTTTTCATTTTTGTTTTTGATATTTTTTTCAGAAAGGAGAAACTATTTTTTCTATGCCATATAACACGTGTATGCTTTTCTTAACAAGTAGTATTGTTTTGTTTTGTTTTTAGAAAGGTGTAAAGATTAGAGGAGGGGAATGGAGATTAATTTTGCATGTGACAGGATTTTAACAAGTCTTTCATTTTGAGCCATTACAAAGGCTGGGCCCATTTAAAGAGGTTGGGCAGATTATCTTCTACGTTCATGGATTGCAATCACATCGTTTGTCTCTAGCCCTGTAATCCAATAGGTTGTGGACTCTTTTCGGCCGAAAAAAGTTTTGATGTGGTGACCAAATAGGCTCTAAGCTGTTGATCCAAATCTTGAATTCTTCAGGCCCGAAGTTATTGGGCTTCTAACTTTACCTGTCCACAAAAAAAGGTTCGGTGTGGAATTTCAACTTGGCAAGATGGGATAATCCAAAAATTGAAAGGAGAGGGGGTGGGGGGTTGATTGGATACAAGGTAACAATAGTTTGATAATAAAATGAATATTTCAACATTTTAAGAGAAAAACAAGAGTATCAACTTGGACACTGTAGTAGAGTGTTAAATCGAAAGTACATATTATTTTTTTAAAATTAAAAACGCTTTATTTTGTTTTCACTGGTAAAAAGGCCAAGTCACTAAAATAAGTATTGTACTGTGGAGAGTTTTGTTCAAATAAATAGAAAAAACATGTATCACACATGTAAAATAGGAGATAATCTCATATGAATGTTTTACCATAGTTAAGTGTTCAAAATCAGTAATCTCACTCACAATAAATTTGAAAGGAATTGCGTTGAAAAGTAATCTGCATTGAGAATTGTGATATTTATTTATCTATTTTAATGTTAAAGACCTTTTTTATACATAATATATAAAACTTTAAAATAACCTTATATTAAGAAAATGATATATTAATATGTATAATTTTTTATTAAATTAATTATTATTTTAATTTTTCTATATGATTTACTTACTTTTTATTATATTTTTTACTAGTTAAATAATCAACGATTTTTTTCTCTTCTGTCTCTTTTATTAAAAATAGTTGTCTTAAGTTTTTTTTTTTAAATCATTATTAATGTACTATTGTTTTAAAGATTTTATCATTCAATTGTTTATTCAAAGTTTTGAAATTTTGTTATATAAATTTTACAAAAGATTAAAACAGTAATATAAAAAAATCTTTAAGATACTAATTTACCACAAAAGACTAATTTAATGACTAAGAAAAAACTAATATGTTATTATTTGAAACCTTAGATGGCAAAATTGGCAGCTTTGAAATATTAGAAAAAAAGCATTTACGTCATTTTTTGATTTGATTATCTTATTTTTATGCTGCTGTTGTTATTACAGGTAAAGCTGAGTTATACTCACAATTTATATTTGATTCCCTGTGATTGATATCATTTGTTATAACGAAAATATTCCTGGATAAAACATAGATAAAAGCACCGAGATCTCGGTGCTTGGAGTCTGTGGTCGCTGTAATGAACTACCATACTTAAGTCAGAGCTCTTATTAGGCATGGAACACGTAAATACGAGTGTATCATAAACGGGGTATTGGATAGGAGAAGAATGACACTTCTCGGTGTTGGTGAATATGCCTCGGGCCCTGTGTGTGATTATGCTATATGTAGCTTACTTAGAGCATACCACTTAAGGGTACTTTTCGGAGTTTATCATAGTACTCATTTGAGTGTGAAGATTTTAAGTCATGTGAATTATCTAGCTAGGCAGCCAAATCAATGCACAGCTAGCCAAAATAGAGGCTCGAGATTAGTATGATACAGAAGTAGGAAAAATGCTCTCACACCATCCAATCTTGATGATATACGTAATATAATTTTGTTAGGTACTGTACTTTGTTGAGTCCACTTTAGTTGATTGTCTGCAAATTGAGGTCATTGTAGTTATTTGTATGGAGCTATATTGATAACCAAAAGACCAAGAGGCAACAAGTTGAACCGTTAGTCTTGGATGTTTGAACTAAAGTTTTGTTGAAATAAATGATTCTTTTGTGTACCAAAAATAAAATGTTATTTAATATAACATTTGTTCCCGCTTGGGAATGAAGGTAAGCTACAATAAAGAAGAAATGAGGTATATAGTAGCATTCCTGTGAAAATAATAGGAGAAAGAACCGGGAGTGCATCCAAAAGCATAAAGACATAATGCATGAGGTCTACTTTTCTAAGAACTTAAAAAGCTCTACATGCAAATGGAAACTGCAGCTGAAAAATCAAAGTAACTAAACAGCTATTCAATGGCAGAAAGTTTGAAGCAGAACCCATGATCTCAATCCCTCATTGTGGCAAACACAGTACTTAGTCCAGACCTATCTGATGAAGAGTGAATAATAACTAGCGAAATCCATTTTTGGGGTCTGCATGTATAAGACCAATCAATAATTTGGCACTGAATCAATTAGGTGAACCTAAAGTATAATTGATAGAAATTGAATGCTAATAGGGATGCAGACAATTCTCTGATTCGTCTTCTCATCACCATCATTTAGTACAAAGATAGTGATGTAACCTTCATTCGTTCCCTCTAGCAACTAATTCCTTGAAAGTCATGAATTATTTTCCTTGGAAAACATCCGTTTGTTGACTTGTTCCTCCAAACATCTAATTCCTTTTTGGTTTTTTTCCTTATATGTCTCAAACCAGTTACACGGTTCCCCTTAATTTGCATGATTAAAATATATTATTATTATTATTGTTATTATTATTTAAATAGACCATTTTGTTAAATTTAAATAATATTTTAATGATTTAAAGTCTGACTATTTTAATTAAATGAAATTTTAAGAAAAAAAACTTAATTTATTTAATAATCAAGTCTGATTTAATTATAAAGATTCAATATAAACTAGACCATAAACTATCAACATGCCCTTTGAGTTATTTTCATATCTAGTTGGAATAGTTACCACCAATAAAAGATTAAGGTTATTGGCTTTGCTGATGATTGATGAATAGCTGAAAGATCAAAGGCTATAAAAGGTAATATACAATGCCAAAGACTTGGAAATAAAAAGTAACCCTCCCAAAATTTACAGAGAACTTTTTTTCCTATTAAACAAATTCAAGCCGTAGATAGTGACACAATCTTTTTTGTTCTTTTTCTTATAATTTCTTATATTTATTATTATTATTATTATTATTATTATTATTATTATTATATCTCTTTTCTGTTATCTTTACTTCACTTTTTCTAATAAATAATTTTTTTAACATGTGTAAGTACAAATAATAAAAATTGTGTAGAGTAATATTTTTGAAAAAATTATAAAGTTTAATATAATTTAATATATTAATATATTAAATATTATATTTTTTTTATAAAAGTTTATTATATATAACTTATTGTAAAAGTACAATATTACACATATTATATTAATTAGATATAAATTGTAAATAATAAAGATACATTTTCTCACATTAATGTGATTGCCTTTCAGTCATAAAATGTATTTAATAGGCGCGGAGCCGTGGAAATTTCATTTATCCTTTGTAATGTTAATATTTGTGGGTATATTTTTAGGATAAAAATAAAAAATTATTTTGAAATTAGAAAGTTGACTCGTGATATCTAATCATAAATAATATTTGAAGTTTAAAATCTAACCTATGTAAAGGTTGAGGGAATTATACTTTATTTTTTTATATTGTTGTGTTTTTCTTTTTTAATTTTTGCTCATATTTTTTAGGTTAACAATAGAGATAAATTGACTAAAAAGCATCACTATAAAATAAAGTTAAGTAATGTTTTAAAAATAAAATAAAATATATTTTAATAATAATTTTTTTAAATAAATTTAAAAAGCACAAAACTTTAAACGAGTGAGATATAATACATTATAAAAATAATAATTTTAAAATTCAAATTCACTTAATAAAATTTTTAAAATATTATTATATTACTCACAGCAACCTATTTAAAATAGGCATGCTACTATGTAAGTTTTATATTACACGAAACTAACCATTATTGCACAAATATCATCTATATGATTTTTTTTAACTAATTATATTTTGACGAGGTTGAGAGAAATAAAAGATAATAAATATAAAATATAATAAATGTTAAAAATATAATTTTTTTACTTTGTTATAATTTTAGTTTTTTTTACTGAAAAATAAAATATATTGAAATTAATTTAAATTCTCAATATATAATATTTTTTAATAATTTATTTTTTTAAAAATAATTTAAATACATATAGAAAATTCTTACAATATCATTTAATTATGAATTGTTATATTAATAAATAAACTTTATTTTTATAATAATTAATCTAAAAATTATATCTATAATATTTTTAAATTGATTAATGATATAAACATATTTACATTGACATTGTATTAAAATTAATTTTATTTTAAATCACATGGCTATCAATTTTTATCTAAAATATTATAGAATATTATATATTCTCAATCATTTATAACAGTGTCTATACAACTTTTATAATTGGTATAACGTGTAAATTTTATTATTTTAAAATTTAATAAGAATATATTGAAACCTTTATATTCATAAACATGAAATATATGCATATAATATCAAATAATTATTTAAAAATACACACTAAAATATTTAAGTCTTTTAGAATAAACTAAACATACATTAAAAAAAACATTGCACAGATTATTAACTAATTCCTGTGATATCATTTAAAAAATGTGTTTTATTAGGCCAAGGTAATTATAATATATATAAGTGATCTTAAATATATTGAGTAATAATTGATCTCAGGTATGCATTGGTTGAATTTCTCCCGTCAATGTCAATAAAATAATATGAACTGCACAACCCCAAGAGTTAGCTGGTTTGGCTAGGTTATAGGCAACAGAGCCATTTCCATATCAAAACAAAAAAGGCTTGCTGGTTATTAATGTGTGAGGTCCTTTTCTTTTTCAATATTCTAGTAATGCATTTGCTGAAAAGAATGAAAGTTAAATATACATACAAAATGTTTGCAGAAAGAGGCTATTTTGTAAATAACAGTACACAAGAGATTAAAAAAATCAGTCATAATTTAAATAAATTACCATAATTCATAGTATTCGTCAATGCAGTAAAAATATTTCTTTCTTGGCTTTCAAACAAGTATTAGCAACTGTCATTAGAATAAAGTCTTGTTTTAATATGTGCATAGGGGTTAACTATTTTAAATTTTAACTTTATAATTTTTATTTTATAAAAATCTGTTATAGTCATTTTAACATAATTAATAAAAAAGAAATTATTTTTATAAAATTAATGGTTAGGGTACATTTTTTATTAACTCAAAGAATAAAGTGATTATCACTCCCTGTCTCCCTCTCATATTACAATTATGTGGTTTTTGTGTCAACTTTTAGAAGAAAAATTAATTTAAGTTTAAGAGATACTATAAACTTTTTACCAAAAATTTAAACTATAAAAAATATACAATATAATAATTTTTGGATAGCCAATGCAACCCTATGATTTTAATGAAAGGAGCTATCCGTATCTGTGTAAACATTAATTAAACTATCTTTTTAGTCAGGTAAAGCGGATGATTTAAGATAGAGTTAGAAGATTCAAAAAGATATTCCTTAGACCAAAGCTAATCATATCTCAATTTGCACATCATATATTTGACCATTTGTTCAATGCTTCGCCCAACTCCTTTGTTAAAAATTTAAATGGACCTGTCGGAGATAATTGATGAACTTTTTTCATTTATTTGGGTCTGTTAGGTCTTATTTTGTTATTTTTAAGAAGAAATAATTTTTTAAATTAAATATATATTAAAAAATATGAAGAGTAAATAAAATTTGAAATAAAAAAAAGAATGTTGCAGTTTTTTTTTTTAATATTTAAAAAGCAATGTTTCAGAAAATTAATGTCTTTTAGAAAAAGAATAAACTTATCCAAATGCATATTTAACGTTGTCATAAATCCTTGACATCTGACAATTAATTATTTTGATACGAATTAAGTTATTATTCAAGATTACTTTTGAAAGGTCCTACCATGCTATTTGTATTGATAGGTACAACTTACTGCTACACTAGAGGTTAAGCTTCATAAAATAAAAGAAGAAAATTTTGAATTATTTGAAAATAGTTGATCATAAAACCGTAGGCTTATTTCAAAACATTAATTTGGTTTGGTTTCATAGAATGTTTTGATTTAATTTTGGTTTTTTTTTGGTAGGCTGTTGTTGTGTTGCTTCATATGTTCCTTAGACTTGAAACCTGTTCGGATTGCATCATTTAAGCGCTTACACCCTTAGGCTCATATGAATTTGTCAGAAAACTTTTTTTCCTCTAATAGATATCACTATAATCTGAATGTAGCTTACGTTACTACGGTTAGATATTCCCCTCAAACACATAACGGATTTTGTAGTACCACCATCCGAAACAGATGGTTATAACATTCTCATGTATAGACTTTTATTTTAATTATTTTGTTACCATTGCATTGATCTAATCTGAAGAGAGTGTTTTGTTTCTCTCCCTAAAACTATAATTAATGCATTGCATTAATTGAAGAGTTTGATTTAATTTCCTGTTTAATTATATAGGAATGCAATGCACTTTCTGTCACAAGTAAAGGTAACAACTTTTCAATTTAAATTTTGACTGCTTGAATGGATGGAAGCGAACATGATGAAGACAATTTCCTCTACTGGTTGTAAGTTGCCTTGCTAGACTTCTGAACATGGAAGAAATGTTTGTTGGATTTATTGCTTAAATTTGTGATGGACCACCTCAAAAGTAATCATATATATATACACACACTTGCAAGAAAATTTCAGATAGTTGGGGCGCGGTCATTGCATGAATCTTTGGGTCCAGGTTTTGAAAATATCGAATGTGTCTCGTATCATATCCTTCATAGTACCAACCAGCTAGTCAAGGCCAGCTGCAGTAGTGTGGTCCATGAATCACCTGATTTTAATGCCTAGCTAGCGCTCTTATTAGGTAGTGTCTTCTTTTTCCTTTATATCCATTTCAGGTGTGAGTGGGGGAACACTTAGGTTGTGGACAAGACCCCTTCTAACTCTTGTTTGTTTTTGCCATTTACACATGTATGTTGCTCCAAATCAAGAGGCAGACCTTGGTTTCAAGGATTTACCATGTAAGCACCTGGTTAAGTTTAACCGTTAAAGCTAGCTATCTCTTTGACTTGTATAAATATATGTATACTCTCAGAGCTGTAAACTCGACATTAATCAATCACCCCCCACTACCGTTTTTTAAATTAACTTTTTAAAATATAAAACAGTAATTACTTCCTTGTATATATAAATATATATATATATATATATATATTTATTTATTTTTTTTTGGAACATATTAATTTAACTGACTAGTTAGCCTCTTATAAGGGAATCGCTCATAAGAGATTGCGTTTTTATTCAAAGAATTCAACGACGAATATGAGATACATTAGGAAAATTCAAATCCATTTCTCAAGTTTCTTCATGCACATCCATTGAAAAGGACTATGTATATGTAATCTATGAGATATAGCAACTTTCAAAGAATAAAACAACATGTGTGGGGTTGAGTCTATCCCAACTTAGATTGCAAAAAACCCTAATGATAGATACTGATAGCAACCCATCCTTGATGCAAGTCTAAGTCCCCTGGGTAGAATTTTACACCCAGAAGGAGGCATTGAGCTATTGTGGACCATACATGACCTGTTCTCTAACATGCCCCCCCTCTTTAAGCACAATAACCACGCAAAATGTCTACGTACCCTATGCCTTGTCTTGCTTTCTTTCTGGTATAAATGTCATCTTTCATTCTTAGGGCAAACTTTAATGCTCAAAGATTTGTACTGTACATCTCATTGCCATCCTTTATCGGTAAACATTTTCTTTTGAGATATTAATTTATTATTTTTTAATGCATTTGACTGATATTATTTGAATATTTGAGCCCTTGCTGTAGCTCTAGCTAGGGCAAAAAAAAAAAAAAACTAGAGCCAGAAGTAGCGGTGTAGAGAATTAGTAGTATTATTAATAATTACTAAATAATTAATATAAAATGAACATGTTTTCTCAATCACATTTCTTTGCCCTTCCTTTCTTGCTGTCATTTCCTAAGTCTCAACCAAACCAGACGAAGCTAGCTAGCAATTACAAATACCTGATTAAACCACTCCCCACTACCACAACCACACTCACACTTTCTTTTTAAAGTCACGAGACCCACTGTCCCATTGTTCATTCAATTTTGTGTGTGGGGGGAGATAAGAGAGAGAGAGAGAGTGGCAGAGGAACTGATAGAGAACTTTCAAAGCTCTTTATCTTCTACCATCACTCAACTAGCCTCTATATTGCAGTCTCAAACTGAAAGTCTCACAAATTTTGTAAAAAGCTTTAGTTTTATCTTCCCATCTGAAAGAAAGAGTGTTTGCCTTATATCATTTTTCCTTCTTTCTTTCTTTCTGTCTCTCTGTCGGTACCATGTAGGTCTTCCCCACTACTACACCTTCACACCCTTCTTCTGATTCATTTTCTCCTCCTCTTTCTCCTTCTCTATCTTTCTCTCTCTCTTATGACTTTGTTGTTTCTTTACAGGAGACCAGAAGGAAACCCATTAGACCTTAACAATTTGCCTGATGAGTACTCAAGAGATGGCAAACAAGTCCTCGAAGACCACAGCTCCTCACCCGGTAAACTTTATTAGTCATGATCATCACACCCCAGATATATATTTTATACAGTAAATAAAAGATCAAAGCTACACAAAAAGTTTTCTATATTCTGAATTCTATTTACAATCACACGCCGTGAAAAGGCTTTCACTTTTCACAGGAAAGAGAATTCAACACTGCCAGGGTTTCTTACTCATCCCTGTGGTATATTCTTTGACCATGGAATAGTACTGATCATCACGTTTTTTTGGCTATCCCCCTCCCCCCCTCTAGCTTCTCCTTTTTCTCCTACTTCTTTTCTTCAAGCTAAACTAACTTCAAAGGTAAACATGACACTGGAAAAGGAGTAAGAATGAGAAAATAGAAGGAGTAGGTAGTAATTAAAATTAAAAATATAAATAAGAATAAACTCTAAATTAATTGGGGAGAGAGGCGGTTAATTAAATAAAATTGAATTAATGATTTGTTTAATCGAGAATGGGCTTAAAGGGAAAGAAGGGTGTCATGGAAATTGCTTTAATTGGATGGTTGTGGTTGCAGGTTGCAGGAAAAAGAAAAGCGGCGGGAAGGATGGAAAAGACGAGTGTGGGAAGGTCTATGAGTGTAGATTTTGTTCCCTTAAGTTCTGCAAGTCTCAGGCTCTTGGGGGACACATGAACCGCCACCGCCAAGGCTAGCACCCTATACTAATAATTTTCTTTCTTCTTTTTTCCTCTCTCTCTCAAATCAAAACCACAATATCTCTACTGGCCGTTAATGATTTTCCCATGAAGCGTTGTCATTTCAGACACAAAAAGTTGTGTTGGATATATTGCTGAAATTCTTGCCTTTTATTTTGAGATGGCCCTTCTGTTATTTTTTTATTATTTTATTTGTGTTGGTTGGATTTGAGTGCAGAGAGGGAAACAGAGACGCTCAACCATGCTCGTCAACTGGTCTTCCGTAACGATCATAACCTTGCTGCACCAGGTGCCCCTCACCTAGGGTATGCACCATTACCATTACCATCACTTGCTTTCTCCTTTTTCCCTTCCTATTTCTTCTTCTTGTTGTTCAACACTAGCATGTATCATTAATTTATCTCTCAGATCTTCTCAAATACTCGTTTAATTTTCCGTTGGTTATTTAGTGTTGTTTTTAGTATACATGTTTGTCAAGTAGAAGCTAGCACAAGCACAACACTGTTTGATACAATTTTAATGTGTGATATTCCATTCATTCAGATGCTGCCAACCAATAGGAGGAGGGGGGTATCATCCATCAGGCAACATGGGAGACCCAACAGTGCCTCTGAGATTCCCAAGATACTTCTCTGCTTCATCCTCAACCCACATGCCACCGCCACCACCACCTCCACCACCATCTCAAGTTCAGCCATATTTATATGCTTCACCTTCACGGCCAGTGTCCTTTCCCTCATCACACTTTCCTCATCAGCATGCTGTGAACGATTATTATGTGGGACATGTGATGAGTAGCAGCCACGGGCACATTGTGGGAGGAGGAGGAGGAGGAGGAGAGAGTACAACAAGTTACACGTGCATTGGTGCACCGGTGGGACAAGGAGGGTTCGGTGGTGGTGGTGGTGTTAAGGACGGGTCACTGCATGGTAATCAGATTCAGGAGGAAGGGTTGAGTTGGGGAAGGAGCTATTCAGGAGCACAGCATCGTTTGGATCCTCCTTCAGCGATCAATCGGTTTCAAGATGGTTTCTAATGGGACGAGATTCTTTCTTTGAGTGGTAGTGTTTTTGTGTTATGTGTATCATAAAGACACGCAATCCAGAGAGAGAGACATTACAAGCTGACACATGGGGTCATGAGATGAGATGAGAGGAGGAGGTAGCCAGGAATGAGAGAGAGAGAGAGAGAGAGAGGTGGTTTTGGTTTATCTACAGTAACCAGAGACAGCTTTTGAGCTCATGGACACGCTCAGCTACTTTGGCTTGGAGCTGTGGGTTGTTTAATCTCAACATGGCCTTTTGTATTGGTAACTAGGACAACCAGTTAGATATGAACTGAAAGTTTAGTTTCTAAACCCCCTTTTTGCATTTGTGAGTGAGTCACTTCCTTTTGCATGGCAAACAAGGAATTCCCTTTTATTTCTTTCAATAAATTAATATTATAATATCTATGTTTTGTTTTTAGGAATATTATAATATCTATCTGTTACTATTTAATATTGGTTTATATGTGTGTGTTTGTCTTGCCTTTTGTTTTTGTATTTAATTTTGTGGCTTTCGCTTGCAATTTAATTAATTAATTTTCCTTTTTTTTCCATTCCAAATTGCCTTAGCCTCCTTCCTCTCGCTCTCACTCTCTATCCGAACCAAAGTTGGGATCTTCTAGTTTCTTGAAATGCTAATGGTCTGAGTGTCACGACATGTTTGCACAATTAGGGTAATGACAGAAGTTTGGAATCCTTCTTGTGAATAGCCATCTTACTGAATGCTTCTTGAATAGGATATTCAAACGATCAAACCTGCCAAATTTCTATTTTCTTCATACAGAAAGATTTATCCTCCCTCCAAATTTCCAAAATATTGTAAATAATTATTTTGAAAATTTAAAACAAAGATTACTTATTGCAGCTGACAGTGAATGCAGCTATTTAATTTGTTTGGTACATACCGAACAGAACTACTACCTAAAGATAAAAACACTCTGGCTGTCAGCTCAAAGAGCTTCTCCCAAATGCAGCAGCTTAAAGAAATACCGCCTTAAGTTGTTCATGATCGTTGCTGAAACAGTAAAACACGTGTAAATAAATGAAACCGCATTAACATGTTTTTTCTTCTTCTTAATTTTCTGTTCTTTTATTTACCAAAATATTTCTCTCTCTGTCCTTTTTTATTTGTTATAAATGAATCTATTTGTCTTTTGTAGGTTGTGTTTACTGTACGCATAGTAATTGTTGATGTATAACAAAACTTATCCTCAAAATATTTTTTAGAAAACTTTTCTTAGGGTTCAACGAGTCCTAAATACTTCTATATCCACAATCATACATGGGATAGGATTAATTAAGGTGTTAAATATGATAAAATATTTTTATAACTTTTTATGTGTGTTATAAGTTTTCTTAATTTAATTATTAAATTAAAATTTTCATAAAATAAATTAAGTATACAGTTTTTACATAATTTAGTATTAATTGATGCTTGATTGTATTATTTTATTTTAATGTATGATATATTATTTAAAATATAATATTCTTTTATTAAATTGTATATTTAAATAATCTAAAATTGATATACATCACGTGCTCATTAAGACAATATCAATTGATTTAAAATTGAATTAGTAAATCTAACATTTGTATATAAAGCTATTAAATGTGACAAATAATGAAGTGTTGTCGATCCTCGCAAATTTTATTAAAGCCAGTCTATTTTTATTAAAATTATTACGAAATGTGTTTCCAGTGGCTCATTAGTCAATACTAATTTCTCCTTGCGAAAGAACATTTGTATACGAAGGAAATGATTATCATCTGCACCTGTTAACATGATTCATATCTGTATGGACCTTCTGTTCCTGAAGTTAACTTTTGTATATTCAAGCAGTAGTACTGAATGACTAGTCATGTAAAAAAATTGGGTCTGATTATAATATTTTCTCTCACTCGAATAATATTTCTTTAAGTATTTCAGACCGAATTCCATTTCTTAAAATATAATTAAAAAAATCAAGTGAATATAACCATAATGCATGAACCATAATACAATTAAATTTATGATTTAAATAAGTTTTTACTCTTTATAAATATTATTTTTGAAATTAAATTATATAAATAATTTTGTTAGTATTTAGTTCCATAAATTTTTCCCTGTGTAAATTTTGATTTGTTCGTGATTGTGTGGGATAAAATTGGATATTATAGAAGAAAAAACTTTTTAAATATTCAATAGGTGTAAAATACTCGACATACACAATTTATATATATATAAAAATGTAAAAGGTTGTTTATAAATGGCATGTTAACCGATTTCTAAATCTAGTAAAGGAGATAAAAAGATGGCTGTGCCTGTATCTTTTAAACAAATATACCTATTAAATGTTCATTATTGATAAATTTGGGTTGTATGAGTTGAATCAAATTAAAGCAAAACTGCAACCACTTTTTTACTTTAGTCAGACTAGTTCTGGCTGATCCTTAAGTAATCTCACTCAGCCGATTGCTTGACCAGATCTTTGAGGTCTGAGGTTCCAACCTCACAAATAATTAGAAACCTTAATCAGAAGATCCTGTTTAGTTTTGTTTTGCTATCGTCAGATATTAATTAATTGAAATTAATTAGAGAAGTAGCACATAAATAGCCTTATATGCCTATAACTGAGGTGGCTCTGGCTAGCTGAGGTGATTAGATAGAACCCAAAGATTACAGAGACATTTCAGGCGGCCTAAGATGTATAGGGTTGAATTATAGACCAAATCCATTTTTGGGCAAGCCATGGGCATGCATGAATGTGGGGACAGATATTAGGGTTCCAGGTGCTTAAAAGTGCAAAAACCTGAAGGATGGTGGATAACATAATAGCTATTAATTAGCTAGGTACTTAGGAGCTAAAGGACAAAAAGATACAGACAAATTGAGATTGGTGATGCCAAGCCAACGAGAGCAGCTATAGCAAAGACCTAAGTTACCATGTGATCTTGAGCTTCATTCATAGCTGAAGAGAGTATCCATGCAAGATGTCGCGCCACCACTGCCTTTCAACTCAGATACAAGTATTTTAATTTGTCAATTGACAGAGCTACATCTTGGGCCCATTCTTCATATTTTACCTTAACCTTTAAGAGCAAGAGAAACATCAAAAGTAAGAGCAGTAGTAGTGATTGAAATCTTAAATGTTTTATTTTTTTATTTATACCTTACTTTTCCCTTAGTACTTTGCTTTGGAGTCAACCTTTTAAAGAGAAAGACTAGTGTTAGTCTCACAGTCTACTCCACCACATTCTGTGCAGAATTTTTTTTTTTTTAATCAACAAACAGTTTTTTTAAAAGGATCTATGAACAAATAAAAAATTGATTCTAAAGCCTATTTTTGTTCTTGCCCAAAATCAGGCTGCAGCCTGAATTAAATCAACAATCAATTTTAAAAAAATATGATTTTTGCTAATACCCGTTTTTAAACATTGAATTTAAGTATTTAATTAATAAACTTTTACTAAAAATATTTATATTTAAAATAAAAATATAATTAATATTTTTTAATAAGCAATTATTATTTGTAAATATTTAAATTTAATTTTAGAGTTCAGTAAACTAAATTGAAAAGATGTTGTAAAAAGTCACTTGATAATATTTATTAATTAACTTTCAAAGATAAGACATAAAAATTAGTATTTTTTTATTGAACTATTTAATTTTTAAGATATTAAAAAAATTATAACTGTTAATTTAAAAAATATATTCAATTTTTTCTTAAATTTATGAATATTATAGTAATAACTTAAAAAATTTAATGACCATCAAATGGCTAATTCAGTTCATATCGTTAATTAAGGTGGCATTGGTTTGTAGTCATTAAGTTAATTAAGAGTTTTTCAACTGTACTTGTTGACTGATAGAGTATTTATGGTAATTTTTTTTAAATGTCAAATGAAATACATTAAATTAAAAAACATAAATTTAAAGACATTATATTTTGATGAATGATAATTATGAGCAATAATTAAAATAAAAAATTATGATATAATAAATAATAATTGTCATTACAAATTTGAAAATTATAATACACTAATAAAATATAAAAAATCTAAAAGTTGAAGTCTTCGTCAAAGTGGCTATCATGGTGACGTTTTTAAAGAATATGTTTGTCTTAGATTTTGTCACAGTAGAGTCCCAGTAGCACCTCAACTCCGTTTTTAAAAAGGAATCGAGAACTCTCCAATCTCTCAAAGGTTCGGCGATGCTGAGAATAATTTTAAATAAGTATTAAAAAATATTTATTAATATAAAACATTAATATATATATATATATATATATATATTGTTAATATATTTTAGATAAAAAATTTATTTTTTATTAAATAAAAATCATATTAATATTTAACAATTTTTATTAATAAATAAGATTTAAATTTTTTTAAAAGTAAACACTTTGACTTTAAAAAATAAAGCGAGTATAATTCTACCTTTAAAATATTTTAACATGTGAAATGTGTATATATATATATCACACTCTTCCAGTTCACAATTCATCATTTATTCTTCATAGTGCACAGAGAGTACACAGCCACCAACCAAAAACACTTTCCTATCTCGTTACAGTGAAATGCTAAAACAACTTTGAAGTCCAAGACTTTGTCTTTGGTTAATTATATTTAAGTTTACATTTCTTAGATTGTATCAACAGCTTTATCATTATTTTCAGTTTTAGAATTGAGAATCTTTTATTAAAATATATTTTATTAAAATGATAAAAAATATAATAAATATTTTTTAAAATTGACAATTAATAATTATTTTTTTAATCTTAAAGACTTAGAGTAACTTTGTTGTTTATAAATGCCAAAACATGTTTCCTTCTGATTTGCATATAGACGTGCGACTGGTCAAAGGTACTAATTAACTAAAGTCACATGATCAATTTTAAAAATTACCACTTTTTTAAAATATTACCTAAATTTTATATATTTATAATAAAATATAATATTTTAAATTTGTGTTTTATGAATTTAATTTTAGTATACTTTGTAAAAAAATTTAC